CATAAAATAACAACCCCTTTCCCCCCGGTAAGAACTAGTTGATCTATAATTTTAAGTCATCGGAGACAATCAGTGGCGATGATAGCAATGTCTACTCGTCGCTCACCCGAAACTAATCCTGTAGTTTATTTAACCGATAGGATTCCTGACATCGATCCTTCTAGAAAGGCATTGTTAGAGCAATACTTCCATTAGAAGGTTCCTTAGATTATACAGAAAAAAATAACTATCGATCATCATTCGATTAAAAGTTTTATATCTGGTCAAAACGTATTTCAGTAACGTGGTATTTTGTTTTTTTTCTTTTTTTTTTATACAACTTAGAATGGCAAACAAGCTGACGGCCCACCTGATAGAAAGTGGTAACCGTCGCCTATAGACATGAGCAGTACCATGGACATGCCAGTATACCGATAGTGCAGACAGGGTTACCATTTCATCTTCACAAATAAAAAAAAATCCATTTAAATTTAGAACTGTCACGTGCACACATTTACATTATATGCACACTAGTGTAACATTTTTCTTGTCTCATTTTTGTGATTGTATTGCCAACCTGTCAATATTATATTCGCTTCTTTTACACATTTTTAGTGCAATAAAGTGTAAAATAAATCTATGAAATCATTTAAAAACTAAATAAAACTTGAAAGGTTGAACAATGTCCCTCGGCGACGGTCACGCATCCCTACATCACCCCATGTCTAAACTCGACTATCACAAGAGCACTTTCTCGTCCACTAAGATGGATTGTCTGACGGTCTGTTTGTCCGCCGTGTTACGGCTACGTGATCGATATGGCTAGTGACCCTCTAACAGTAACCCTTTGTTACGTAAAAATATAGGGAACCTTACACAAACTTTAGCTAAGATGGCGCCACTGAGTTACAACGTAAACAATTCGTCTTATGACAAACATATATATATATGTATATACATATATGTATGTATATATATATATATATATGTATATATATATATATTAAATATAGCATTCATTCTAGACGACATATCAAAATAAAACATATACCAAATTTTCAATTTCAATTTACACCTTTAGGAACACAACTGTTAAAACTGCATACAATTTGGTGCAGTAATTTTTGCGTGTTAACAAAACAAACATAAAGACAAACAAAAAAAATCTAAAAAATATTGTTTTGGCATCTATTGCTCGTATTGAAATACACTCATATAAAAATAAATCACTTATATAAAAATAAATATCTTCAATGTACAGACATTGTCTTTTTTTTATACAACTTAGAATGGCAAACAAGCTGACATCCCAAATGATGGAAAGCGGTAACAGTCGACTATAGACATGAGCAGTACCATGGACATAACAGAGTATACTGTTTCGCCCATGATACCTCCCATGCGTTGCCATTCCTGAGGACTCAAGTGTTATTCCTCTGTACCCTGTAAATTCACTGCCATATCCCATCCTTCAAACTAAAACACAGCCATGCGAACACAACTGCTTCACGGTAGAAACACGAATGGGACAGAGGTGCTCAAGCAATCGACTTTTGTACAAAGTCTCCCTCTGGCGAAGACATTTTTAATATCAGGTATGGATATATTAATACCAGTCGGTATTATTCATTAGTTAAATTTTTACCAGGCTACGTTATAAATTATACAAACAACCGTAGCTAACTTTGTAAACAATCTCTTCAGAATTACTTTGTTTTTGTTGCATAATAAATATTTAATTTACTTATACACACAAAGATTTTCCATTTTGAGCCACTCTTCTGCTGATGCGAGGGCTTTGTACAGATACCATATTTATATATATTTATTCGTTTGTATATGTAGTTTTACTATATATGTATATCAATAATTACTAGTACCACATTCGAGTTTTCTGACACTTCCCTATGGTTGACTGGGAGAGAATGCTTTTAGCATTAAGTTCGCCATGTACACATATTTGTACTAATGAATAAATAAATAAATATTCCATCAGGCGGGCCGTCACCTTGTTTGCCATACTAAGCTGCATAAAAACATATACGACATTCTTGTAAACACATTTGTAATTCTTTACAGAATTATATATTCCCGTACGGTCCCGGCATAGAATAGGCCACCCCTTCCTTTCCCGTGGGTCTTCCTTTCCGTAAGAGGCGACTAAGAAAAGGATTTTTTTATGGGTGAAAGTAGTATGGTAACCCCGCCTACGCTAACGGTATACGCTTGCGGAGCACCAGTGAAGGGTGATAGATGAGAATGAAAACAGGCCAGTTAGCCCATCACGATGAATTCATCAGGAATTAACCATGATAGTTTCCAGGGGGAAGCGCGAGGAGGTCGACCTGGTTGGGTATATTGCTAGCAATGGAATTCTTAGTCTCCATTACTAACAATCCCTTTCCTCCCACTAAGAGAGGGTTAGGAATGGGTAGCAGCGTTCCTCTTAAAACATCTACAAACCTAAACTGCATTTGGCAATCTGCCTGCCAAAAATGGCAACTACTGACAAAACCCTTCTAGACGAAGGTTTATGTTCAGCAGTGGACAGTTAATAGCTTATACAACAATAATAATATACATAGAAAATAACTATACCAATACAAACAAACATATTTAAGAAATAGTACCAACTCCTTCCGTTAGACCAACTCTGTCCGATTCGACCCACTGAAACTGCGCAGAGATGTTGCATCTCTGTGCATCTTCTACCTAATTAATCATGGGGAGTGTTCTGAGGAATTGTTCAGATTGATACCTGCTGCTGATTTTCACTACCGTACAACCCGCCACAAACTAAAGTTTCATCCCAACCATCTGGACGAGTGGCGGTCTTCTACCGTGCGTTTTTCAAGGCACTTTCTTCCACGCACAACTATTCTTTGGAATCAATTTGTATTGGGCAAGAATCGAACTACTGACCAATGAAAGATTAGGTGTATTTTTTAATGACTGATAATGGAATGGTAACCCCGCCTGTGCTATCGGTATACACTGGCGAGGCACCAGTGAGGGATGAGAGATGAACATGAAGACAGGTCAGTTAGACCATCGTAATGAATTCCACAAGAATTAACCATGATTGTTAACCTAATCGCAACTTGAACGGCTAAATGAATTTAAATAAAATATAATAAAAAAAAAATTACTGTGGTAACCTCTTATCATCAGGTGGGCCGTATGCTTGTTTGCCACCTCAGTGATATAAAAAAGCAGACAATATCATAGATTAATATAAGATTTCCTAATTTCTATTTATTCATTCTTCATTGCACAATAAAACTTTGTACAAGTGGTGAGCTTAATGCCATATGGCATTCTCTACCGGCTAACCATTAGGTGAAAACAGAAAGCGTATGAAGGGCAGATGTGATGAAAAATATGTGACACAATTATAGCAACGTACTGAAATAATTGTACGTAATAATACATAAGAAATACACATACAACACATAAATACTACTTATATTGATAATAAATTAGGTAGTTATACTAATATATATATGAAATATATACATACACATACATACATATATATATATATACAAATATATACACATACACACATATATGTATGTATGTATATACATACATACATACATAAAAACTATGGTAAACATTATGAAATATAGTAACTATTGAGTAACCTGTAACTAGAGCTGGTCCCACCTACTATTCACACAAGCAAATCAGCGTGTTACAGCCAGCCATAAAAATCGATTCTGTCACCCGTTCACCGCAGTTACTTTGCCATCCGCGTACTTCGCACAGCTGGGAGCGTAATGAAATATAAACAGGAGTATTTTAAACCCATTTAATAGGAAGTGTTTAAAATTAATCAACCTTTTGTTAACTTCAAATGTTTATATGTTTGACTCAAATCCTGCGAGTGACTTTCCCCATTTATTACCGACGTGAATTTTGATTATATGTTTTCTGGTACAAGTAATTTTGGAGTTTTAATGGGTGAGAACGGAATGGTAACCTCGCCTGTGCTATCGGTATACGCTGCCGGGGCACCAGTAAAATATGATAGGCGAGGATAGAGCATCTAGAGTACAGTACATCTATGGTACAGAGGAATAACATCTGAGTCCTCAGTAATGGCAACGCATGAGGGGTATCATGGGCGAAACAGTATACTCTGTTATGTCCATGGTACTGCTCATGTCTATAGGCGACGGTTACCACTTTCCATCAGGTGGGCCGTCAGCTTGTTTGCCATTCTAAGTTGTAAAAAAAAATCTAGGTCTGCCCATCGTGACTAATTCCACAAGGATTAGCCACAATTATTGTTACTCAGTCAGGTACTTGGCCGTATGGTCCCGGCATAGAATAGGCCATCCCTTCCTTTCCCGTGGGGGTCGTAAGAGGCGACTAAGGGAGAGCAAGGGATGGGCAGCAGCGTCCCTCTTAAAACATCTCCAAAGCTTAGCTGCGGTTGCCAATCAGCCTGCCAAGAGGCTTGTCATGTGTCACAAAACATGCGTGAACAAAATGACAATGGGATTTTTTTTTATAATTTTTTTTTATACAACTTAGAATGGCAAACAAGCGGGCGGCCCACCTGATGGAAAGTGGTAACCGTCGCCTATAGACATGAGCAGTACCATGGACATAACAGAGTATACTGTGTCACCCATGATACCCTCCATGCGTTGCCATTCTTAAAGACTCAGGTGTTATTCCTCTGTACCCAGTAAATTCACGCCATATCCCACCCTTCAAACCGAAACACAGCCATGCAAACAACTGTTTTACGGTTGAAACACGAATGGGACAGAGGTGTCCAAGCAATCGACTTTTGTACAAAGTCTCCCTTTGGTAAATAATATAGAAGGTTGGAAAACTTCTGGTAGTAATAGTGGTGGTCAATCATCGAATGACGACAGTCACACACATACTAATAATAGTGGAATTAAACAACATATTTCTAATCGAATCACCAACTAATTTCGTACCTACTAATTGCTTTTTTAGGAGTTAGGAGTACGAAATAAGTTCATACAAACTAATTTATAAGTGACTGAAATTTTAATACAAGAATTTGTGTTATTTCTATAATTTTACAAATTAATTTCGTTTCCCATGTTCACCGGGTGGTGTATCAATTTTCTCCGACGACACCTCGTATTGCATGTCTAATCTGAAAGCAAATATACATTTATCAAAGTATTAATTCATTATTAAACCTTTTTACCAAGGACTTTTTTTTAATGAGATTTAACAGCCCCAATGCTAGCAATATACCCTATCAGGTCCAACTCCACGTGGTTCCTACTGGAAACCATAGTGATTAACTCCTATTCAATTGGTCACTATGGGCCAAATGACCTGCCTTTATGTTTTGTTTTTGTTTTATACAACTTAGAATGGCAAACAAGCTGACGGCCCACCTGATGGAAAGTGGTAACCGTCGCCTATACACATGAGCAGTACCATGGACATAACAGAGTATACTGTTCGCCCATGATACCTCCCATGCGTTGCCATTCCTGAGGACTCAGGTGTTATTCCTCTGTACCCAGTATTTTTCTTACCCTTATCTTCATTTGTCATCCTTCACTGGTGCCCCGCCAGCGTATACCGATAGCGCAGGCGGGGTTACCATTCCATCATCGCCCATTATAAAAAAAAAGACCTGCCCTTATATTCTCACCTATCATTTCTCACTGCTGACCCGCCAACATATATCAATAGTGATTTCGGGGTTACCATTCCATTATCCTCCATAAAAAAACAGCCCTCTTAATATCTATCAGGTCGACCTCCACGCGGTTCCCCCTAGAAAACATCTTAGTTAATTCTTATAGAATTCGCCACGATGAGCTAACTGGCCTGGCCTTTCATCGTCACCTATCATCTCTCACTGGTGTCCCACTAGCATATATCAATAGCGCAGATGAAATTACCATCCCATTTCCACCCATTAAAAAAAAAAAGAAAAAAAAACAATATACTCTGTGATATTCAAGTCTTTTTGAAATGTCCATATTTTTATAATTTGCATGTACTTCATTGTTATTTACCACATTCATATAATTTCTTTATATAATTTATAATTTAACATTGTTTGCTAACTGCTTTAACCGTGCTGTGTGTACACGTCTGGGTCTCAATCTAGTTCATACTATTATCTTTACATAAACGTTTAAAATAAGTTCTTTTGTCGGCTTGTTTGTCATTTCAGTACCATAATATATATATATATATATATATATATATATATATATATATATATATATATATATATATATATATATATATATATGTAGATATATATATATATAGATATATATATAGATGTGCTGAAGAAGGGTCAAATTAAAAGTACCCGTAACCGGCGAGCGTGTATGAAAAGATTGGTGAATGTGAAAGAAGCGAAAGAGGTTTGTTTGAATCGAAGCATTTGGCGTTCCATTGTTTCTGCCTACCCTAATGGGAGACAGGCGTGACAGATATGTATGTATGTATGTAAAAAATATATGAATTTTTTGCTATAAAAAGCAAAAGAATACAAACTAGATACGAGTATAAGGTGTATGCAAAATCAGGCATTGACTCCGATGTAAAACCTTGAGATTTGTTTAGATCACTATCTTTTACATTTACATGAGTTTTTTCGTATATATATATGTATGTATATATGTTCATATTGACGCCAAACTATCAAATAGTTCTAGAGGTAGTGTCCATCATTTCAGCCATTATCCGTCCACTGCTGGATAAGCTTCCCCCATAGATTGCCATAAAGAACGGTCCTGAGCCACCTGCTTCCACTGATTTCCTGCAATGCATTTCAGGTCGTCACTCCATCTAGTGGGGAGTCCCGCACTGCGTTTACCCGTACGCGGTCGCCACTCAAGAACCTTTATTCCCTAACGGTTGTTGGTTCTTCGAGCTATGTGACTAGCCCATTGCTACTTCAGCTTGATTATCCTGCAGGTAGTGTCCATACAAATGGCTAAATTGGGGGGGGGAAGGGATTGTTAGTAATGGAGACTGAGAATCCCATTGCTAGCAATATACCCAACCAGGTCGACCTCCTCGCGGTTCTCCCTGAAAACTATCATGGTTAATTCCTGATGAATTCATCATGATGGGCTAACTGGCCTGTTTTCATTCTCATCTATCACCCTTCACTGGTACTTCACCTTACCAATTCACCTTCAATGGTATGATAACCCCGCCTGCGCTAACAGGATACGCTGGCGGAGCACCAGTGAAGGGTGATAGATGAGAATGAAAACAGGCCAGTTGGCCCATCATGATGAATTCATCAGGAATTAACCATGATAGTTTCCAGGGGGAACCGCGAGGAGATCGACCTGGTTGGGCATATTGCTAGCAATAGGATTCTTTGTCTCCATTACTAACAATCCCTTTTCCCCCCACTGGGAACAATTTAGCATTCGGTACGTTAGAACAGGAAATTAATAAACTGGCCTACCTTTAAATAAATAGATAAATAAATAAGATATAATCGCCTCCAGTATGTTTGCTTAATCTCGCGTAGATGACTACTACGCTATAAGGAGAGAGAGAACTGCATCATTGCTACACAGGGTTAGTACAAGCACAAACAGCATTCTAAAAGTAATAGGCGGGAAATATAACTCGCCTATAATTGGGCATTTCATTCAGATGCTGTTCTAGTCGGCTGGCTCACATCTGAGTGAACTGCTTTAATTAATTTGCTTGTCTTTCTTACTAACATAGTTTGTAAGAAAACTGTTACTAACAAAATGGACCAAATTGTAGTCTGAGTAATAAAGTATATTATTATTATTATATTGCAAACGGTGATGTTAGCCGCTGGCCTACAGCTCGCCGCATAATCACGCGGTGGATGAACCACAAATCTGAAGGTGACTTGGAGATTTGCCGTTCGCAGGAATCCGACCAAATTCTATGCGCATACGTACGACTATGTGGCGTGATTGTAATAAATCAAACGCTGTAATAGAATATTCAGCGGCTCGCTCGTATTCGCACTTGTGGTGACTTCACGGCCTATTTCAGGCTCCAACAATCGTATAGCTAACACAGTGAATATATAATTTTATTATTTGTACTGATGTCCATACTACGTAAACATAAGTCTTTTCTTTTATACAACTTAGAATGGCAAACAAGCTGACGGCCCACCTGATGGAAAGTGGTCACCGTCGCCTATAGACTTGATCAGTACCGTGGACATAACAGAGTATACTGTTTCGTCCATGATACCCCCCATGCGTTGACATTCCTGAGGACTCAAGTGTTATTCCTCTGTACCCTGTAAATTCACGCCATATCCCACCCTTCAAGCCGAAACACAGCCATGCAAACACAGCTGCTTCACGGTTGAAACACGAATGGGACAGAAGTACCTAAGCAATCGACTTTTATACAAACTCTCCCTCTGGTACATTGGAGCCCGCACTAGGCGAACCTGTACCGTGGGAGTCCATAAAAGATTACCAAAACACGGTGATTTACAAATATATAATTAGTGAGCAAATTTTACGGAAACAACAAGTTAGAATGACATCCTTCATCAATATAAAATAAAGTAAAAATGTTTATTTGGGAACTTTAGCTTAATTTCAGTTTTCTTTTTGGGATCGATAATAACTGCATTAGTCACAAAGAGAATGACAAATTAAACCATTAACCCTTGATCAATGACTCGACATCATCATATACAAGAGTCATTAGCCAATTAATCAATTTCATTTTGCAATCACGTAAAAATCCACCAGGTCAGTTAGCCCATCGTGATGAATTCCACTAGGATTTACCACGATGGTTTCCAGGGGTTTATTTATATATATACACTCCTCGCAAAAATTAAGGGAACATAAAAATTTTTGAAATTTTTGGGTGATTTTCAACAGGCTGTATTTCAGTGAAAAATAATCGTACAGGAAATTTAAAAAAAGGGTTTTGAAGCTTGAAAACTCTAGTTTTCAGATTTTTTGGTGAAAAAATTTTTTGAGCTCCGGTTTCCATGCAATTCTTAAACAAAGCTGAAAATAATTTTTTTCTAAATTTTCTAGGTTTCGTTTTTCACTCTATGGGCATGGAAAAATTTTTTCGAGCTACTCCATTGTATAGGTCTCTTAGCGTGTTTATTCAGCTTCAAAAATCGCGTTGTATACGGTCCTTGTCTCTTAAAAAGAACGGAACGCTTAATTCAACGCGTCCAAAATGCTTGTGCGAGATTTTGTTTTGATATACCATGTAGGAGTCACATCACACCTTTCTTGAACGAAAATAATATGATCAAAATGTCCGCCAGGAGAAAGCTTCATTTTGCTACTTTACTCTTCGGAGTAATTGCTACTGGCCAACCACGCTACTTGCACGAAAAACTGTCGTGGAGGCAAAACTATCACAAGTATGCTGTTCGTCCAATTGTGAATGTACTCTGCATTCCAAGATATAGGACGGCTGCTTTCAGGGGCAGTTTCAAATACGCTGCCACTCGCTGTTGGAATGATCTTCCTCCACCAATTCGAAACCTGAAAAATGTACATACGTTTAAGAGTAATCTAAAAAAATATTATCTACACCAACAAAAAGCCAATTAAATTGCTGGTCTCTGTCCGGGATCTTCCTTACCAGAGACTTTCTAATGAGTATCCTATTAGGTGCAGCTAGGAGTTCTATGATACATATATGAACAGTTATTTCACTTTAATATAATACACAATCAATAATATATTTTTTATTATTATCTAATTACTGGTTGCTATTGATTACATTATTGACATATTGCATATTGCAAGAGGAGCATATTGCAACTCAAGGAGGTAAGTACTTACCTAGTTTTTGTGGTCCTCGATTGAATGTGGGGATGATTCAACTATATTCGATATTTAGTTTCTTTAGCGTCTGTAGTATTACTACGTAAAAGGAAAATACTTATTCTATACGTATTTTATGTTTTTCGTGTGATTATTATTATTCAACATTGACAACGTCACAATTTATCATTCAATATATACCCACTACAAATTTATTATATTTATTTCATTTTTATTTTTTACACAATACACTTTAAGCACACCACTGTGTTGGTCAAGTTTTCAAACATTATTGTTATTATTAGGACCCCGCGGGTTGGCGAGGCTCGTGCTGAAAATCAGCGCTGTAGTGTCCCTGACACTACAGCATAATGCTGAGCACGCACCTCATTTTGCAGGTATTGCGACGCACGCACACACACACTCATTTTTGATGAAATTGTTATAATACGAATCGTTTTATTTTTTTTTTTTAATTTTATATATATTTTTTTTTTTTTTTTTTTATAAATATTTTTTTGTGTTGTTTCTTTATTATAATTCTTAATATATGGATTTTTTTTTTAACCCCTGTGTGGGTGCCGTCGCATATTTCTTGTAAAATAAAGTTTTTTCTTTCTTTCTTTCTTTCTTTCTTTCTTTCTTTGGATGGCTCAATTACGACCATTTGTCTCCGAGATATCGAACTTTGAATGCAAAAGCATTCTTTTCCATTCAACTGCTAATATCTCTGGAACTACTGGTCGCACAGCAAGCGGGCGCCGAGTTTCTTTATCTGCATAAAATTTCCAGTTAAGCACAGTCAAGAGTTAGTGAAGAAAAAAATTTTTTCCACCTCTAACATTGAATTGAAAAAAGTGGAAAAAAGTGACTTTTTCTCCTTTTTTGGTTATTTGGCTGTATCTTCGCTAATATGGGCGGGAAAGCTAAGGTTTGAGGAAAATTTTACAGTCTATTGTTCCTTAAAGAACCCCCTAAATCCCTGGAGCGATCGGTTCAACGATTTTTCCCGGACCAATTGATTGAAATTTTGGAAAAAATAAGGGAACAAGGTTTTTGTCCCTTAAACTCACCCTAATCCATTCAAAAATCAATAATTTCATTTGTTTTTCACTTTTAACTCATTTTTTTGTTTTTTTAAAAATTCATTATCAAAAAAAAAATCGAAAAAAATCAAGAAAATTTTATGCAGATAAAGAAACTCGGCGCCCGCTTGCTGTGCGACCAGTAGTTCCAGAGATATTAGCAGTTGAATGGAAAAGGATGCTTTTGCATTCAAAGTTCGATATCTCGGAGACAAATGGTCGTAATTGAGCCATCCAAAGCGATTTTTGAAGCTGAATAAACACGCTAAGAGACCTATACAATGGAGTAGCTCGAAAAAATTTTTCCATGCCCATAGAGTGAAAAACGAAACCTAGAAAATTTAGAAAAAAATTATTTTCAGCTTTGTTTAAGAATTGCATGGAAACCGGAGCTCAAAAAATTTTTTCACCAAAAAATCTGAAAACTAGAGTTTTCAAGCTTCAAAACCCTTTTTTTAAATTTCCTGTACGATTATTTTTCACTGAAATACAGCCTGTTGAAAATCACCCAAAAATTTCAAAAATTTTTATGTTCCCTTAATTTTTGCGAGGAGTGTATGTAACTATCGTGGCTAATTGGTGGCTTGTTAAATTCCACCAGTGTATACCAATAGCGCAGGCGGGGTTACCATTCTATTATCACACATTAAAAAAAACGATAACCATAAGCTGTATGAGTAGAGCCCTTTGCCTCTCCCTTTGCGATAAACAGAACCAAAAAAAAAATTAACACGTACCTACATAATGACAGCAAACATTTTTACTTGTAAAATTATTTTTTTTAACCAATATTTCGCGGTCGAAATCGAACAAAATATTAACTACATAATTAATTTAAACATCTCAAACTTTGTGCTGTCAAATGATCCGTGTTACACAGTGGATGTGACAATTCTATTTTTAGACCACGATTTGATATTACAGTTACACGGCAGAAGAAAAACGAGTGAGAACGTTAAGCGATTTACGTATTTGTTTCACAATTTCGTTATATTATAAAAAATCCTCGATAGTATAGTGGTCAGTATCCCCGCCTGTCACGCGGGAGACCGGGGTTCAATTCCCCGTCGGGGAGGTCAATTTTTTGCCTTTGTTATTCATTAAAAAAAATATTTATTTTTATGTAATGTCTTTTAATGGTGTTTTAATACTGTGTGTTTTTTTATCTATTTACTATATAATTGTAAAATCAATTAATTAATTGTCAAACAATGATGTTAACGACTATAAATACTTAGGTAGGGGGAAAAGGGTTGCTAGCAATGGAGTTTGACAGCCCCATCGTTAGCAATATGCCATATTAGGTCGACCTCCACGTGGTTCCCCCTGGAATTCATCGTGAACAATTCTTATTGAATTCGTCACGATGGGCTAACTGACCTACTTCATCCTCATCTATCATCCTTCACTGGTGCCCTGTCGGTGTATACCAATAGCGCGGGTGGGGTTACCATTCCATTATCACCCATTAAAAAAAAATACTTAGGTAACAAATCATTAGCACCCACCGCTTCTATTTCAACTGTAAATTATTTGATACAGTAATATTTTATATATTTATTATATGTATATATTTTTTAATTAATATATTATGTGTGTATGTGTATATATTAGTCAAATTATATGTTTATATTATATGAATATATCAAGTATTGCTTTATTTTTCCTCTATTCAATAATGCACCGCCTACGTATTTCTCGGTTTCAAGTCTCGGAGTCAAAGAAGAATAGGTATAGAGGAATAACAGTACTCAAGTAGTACTTAGTACTCAAGAATGGCATCGCATTATCATGGGCAAAACAGTATACGCTGTACTGTACCCTAGTACTGCTTACGACTATAGGCGACGGTTACCACTTTCCATGTAGTCCTCGGGAATGGCAACGCATGGGGAGTATCACGGGCGAAACAGTATACTCTGTTATGTCCATGGTACTGCTCATGTATATAGGCGACGGTTACCACTTTCCATCAGGTGGGCGGTCAGCCTGTTAGCCATTTAAAGTTGCATAAAAAAATGAGAGAACCTGTTTCGACGGTGAACATTGTCAAATAGTTAATATTTTTTTTTTATTTTCATACATTAATTTCTCAACAAGACAGAGTGTCTTGTTGAGAAATTAATGTCATTTAAAAAAAATTATATTTAAAAAATTTTTAAACCAAAAATTTCTCCTTTCTATAACAATTGACAAATAATATAATTTTTATCCGCGACCAACATCCTATTTTATATGTTTGAATTAATGTGTTCGTATTTAACCCAAAACACGCAGCAAAGCCATTAGGTTCGCTTGTAGTTTTAACAAACACAGCCATTTCCTTGTCCCACCTAGTCGCGTATACAAGACAAGATAAAACGGGCTAATGGCTAGTTAATCCAATAAAAAGACCATTCTAGGCCGTTCCCTACAAAAAAAAACACGACATTTGTCTTAATTTACCCTTTACAAATCCAATTTATAACTATTAGCGCAACAATAGCTTCTAACTTAAGGCAATAAGGTTTGTTATGTTTGGAATTCGATTGTACAATATGAATTTTGTACGTTTGTGCATCGAGACCGTAATTGTATCGTTGACAGTATCTACTGGCTAGGGGGAAAGGGATTGTTAGTGATGGAGTTTGACAGTCCCATTGCTAGCAATATGCCTTATTAGGTCAACCTCCACGTGGTTCCCCTGGAAACCATCGTGAACAATTCTTGTTGAATTCGTCACGATGGCCTAACTGACCTACTTCATCCTCACCTATCATCCTTCACTGGTGTCCCGCCGGTGTATACCGATAGCGCGGGTGGGGTTACCATTCCATTATCATCCATTAAAAAGTATCTACTGGCCAGTGTTTTTGTACTGTTTCGTACATTTATTTATTTATTTACTCATTAGTACAAATATGTGTACATGGCGGACTTAATGCTAAAAACATTCTCTCCCAATCAACCATAGGGAAGTGTCAGAATACTCGAATGCGGTACTAGTAATTATTGATATACATACATACTAAAATTACATATATAAACGAATAAATATATATGAATAACAAATATACTTACACATATATGACATATACTATATTATGTACGAAATTGAGAATAATATAAAGTACATTGATATTTATCTGCTATTTGTTTTTTTTTTTTGTTAATGGGTAAAAATGGCATAGTAACCCCGCCTGCGCTATCGGTATACACTGGCGGGGCACCATCGAGAGGTTATAGATGAAGATGAAAAAGCAGGTCAGTTGGCCCATCGTGACGAATTCAACGATAAATTAGTCACGATAGTTTCCAGGGGGAATCGCGTGGAGGTCGGTAAATAGTACCTACATACCTGTTTCTTTATTGCCGACGTTTTGACGTAAATTGCACCACGTCATGCTCACGACAGGACTGAAGTGAGCGGCGTCTTCCTCTGGCAGCCCCATTACTAATAATCCCTTCCCTCACGACTCTGATGTTACCCTCTACAATGATAAATGATAATGGCTAATGATAAATATTCAGTGAAACCAGTGACCCGTCCAAGTTCAGTACTCCACGCTCGATACAACAACCCCGAAAGGGCAACACATTGTATGCGTTTTACATTCACCTTACATCAATCACATCAAAATGGACACTTGAAATGCTGGAATTATCACCGCATACATACTGAGCAGATGTTTCGAATTAATTTTATACATTATGCTGCCAGCTCCCACCCTGTTGTATAATGGGCGTGAAATTATACAGGTCACAGCGGGAATCGAACTCGAGACGGCGAGGTGAGAGGTCGATCACCTGGCATTTAATTCTGGAATAATCTGGAATCTTTTCCATTTTCAAAAGCCATCGACTTTTTTATTAGGACATATGACATGTCGTTGTTTAAATACATAATCTTTCTTAGGTTAGGTCATAAGAATTTGAGGACTTTTTAAAATCTTTTTCTTTTTAATACGAGTAAATTGCCAAATGTATGTAAATACATCACTGACGTACGGCTGGAGGGAAAAGAATTGTTAGTAATGAGTTCTAACAGCCCCATAGCGGGGAGAAAGGGATTATTAGTAATGGAGACTGAGAATTCCATTGCTAACAATATAATACCCAACCAGGTCGACCTCCTCGCGATTCTCCCTGGAAACTATCATGGTTAATTCCTGATGAATTAATCATGATAGACTAACTGGCCTGTTTTCATTCTCATGTATCACCCTTCACTGGTGCTCCGCCAGCGTATCCCGTCAGCGTATGCGGGGTTATCACACCATTTTCACCCATAAAAAAAACAGCCCCATAGCTAGCAATATACCCTATCAGATCAACTTCGTGGTAAATTCTTGTCAAATTCTTCACGATGGGCCAACTGACCTGCTTCATCCTCACCTATCATCCTTCACTGGTGCCCCGCCTGTGTATACGGATAGCGCGGGTGGGGTTACCATTCCATTTTCACTCATTAAAACTTCCAAACGACTGCACCTATTTGGTAAATTATTTTTTTGTCGTATTTACCAGTTTGCTTGTGCACCTCTGTCCTATTCATGTTTCTACCGTAGAACAGTTGTGTTTGCATGGCCGTGTTTCGGTATGAAGGGTGGGATATGGCGTGAATTTACAGGGTACAGAGGAATAACACCTGAGTCCTCAGGAATGGCAACACATGTGGGGTATCATGGGAGAAACAGTATACTCTGTTATTTCCATGGTACTACTCATGTCTATAGGCGACGGTTACCACTTTCCATCAGGTGAGCCATCAGCTTGTTTGCTATTCTAAGATGCATAAAAAAATATTCCTTAGGACTAACATATCCTAACATAATTGTACTGTCAAATAATGAGACTAAAGTCTCACTTTCTCCATTAGTAGACTCGTGCGAAGCCGGAGCAGATAGCTAGTATATGACATAAATAAGGATAAAGCTTAGTATACGCTATAGAATTGTTTGTAATTTAATGGAGCGGCCAGTCGTATGTTACGAAATAATCTTTTGTTATCTGTGCAAACCCTCCCTCCGTTTTATAACTGTAAATATGGGATGTGAATGGCTTTTATCCCTTTCAAGTGTATTTATTTACTTTTTTCATTTATTCCGGGTTGGTAAAGGTTTCGCTTTGACAATACCATTGAAATTGAGATATATATATATATATATATATATTTACAAATAAATATATATGTATTACAATATTCATTTATTATGGTTTTACACAGTTTATTTTTGTTTTTATTATTCTGTGATCTTTTGCGACAAATCTGTATTTCGTGAGTTGAATTTTTCTATTATAATTTAAAATGTAGCTACACAATTTTTGTTTTTTTAATTTTAAATCTATCTAGATAGATATCGATAAAGGAAAAACTGAGGGGAGAAGGGATTGTTAGTAATGGGTATTAGCAATCCCATTGCTAGCAATATACTCTGTTCAACCTCCACGCGGTTCCCCCTGGAAACCATCAGTTGATTTATTGTTAAATTTGTGACGAGAGGCCAACTGATCCGCTTCATCCTCACCTATCATCCCTCACTGGGGCACCCCGCTAGTATATACCGATAACCCAGGCGGGGTCCCCATTCCATTATCATCCATTTATTTATTTTTTATTTTTTTTATGGGTGAAAATGGTATGGTAACCCCGCCTACGCTAACGGGATACGCTGGCAGAGCACCAGTGAAGGGTGATTGATGAGAATGAAAACAGGCCAGTTGGCCTATCATGATGAATTCATCTGGAATTAACCATGATAGTTTTCAGGGGGAACCGCGAGGAGGTCGACCTGGTTGGGTATATTGCTAGCAATGGGATTCTTAGTCTCCATTACTAACAATCCCTTTCCACCCCATTATCATCCATTAAAAAAAAAACTAATCCAAATAACTTATACTAAAGTTTTTATCTATTCACAATTAAATCATAAACCTTCAACGGGAAGTGGCTGAAGACACGAAAAAGTCAACACTCCCAAGATTGAGAAGAAACAAAGAAACATTCGCGAGAACTCAAAAGTCGTCAAAAGTCATGCAACAAACCCCACACAAATCGGGGTTGACCGTCAAAAAACGGTAACTAAGAGAAACAAGTTACGAGAATAATTTGCAGTACACGCTCGGCAAATGAAAAAGGCCTAATCCATCCCGGGTCATCCATCATGCGTGTCGCGACAAAAGCTTTCAGCCGTACAAAGCGACTGAGTTGTCCCTCGCTCGCTTGCGGCGAGATCGCCCGCCCGCCCGCTAGTGTTGCCTTACAATCGATTATAACGTAATCAATAGTCTAAAAATCGATTGGCTTCTCGATTGTATCGATATAAAAGTTTACACAATTTAATCGATCACTCAGAATCATTTATGTCTCGGTTAGCCCATCGACAGTATCGCTATGAAGGTTTGCGCTGTTTAATCAATTTTAATTAATTTATTTATATTTTTCACCAATAGTAATCTAATTGTGAAATGACTTGAGTATCGATACTATGTACATATCGATATATGAAGGTTTGTTATTTATTTTATTAAGAATGCAAATAATAATGCATAGAGATGTATTTATTACTATCTTTAGAAATTTAAAAGTAAACTAACAATATAAAAGATTTAATGAGAAATTTGGCGCTAGTACTAGGAGACACGTAGTATACCTTCCGTGATGTTACTGGAAATACTCATAGAGTTAGCTTGAATACTTGATAGATATAGATTCGAATTCCATCGGATCGAACTATTGAGACATTTTTATATTGTTTTCTAGCGATCCGTCCCGGCTTCGCACAGGTAGCTATGTAGAAAGATAAATTAGTATTTTTAGGCAATTTTTTGATACATTGGGTTATATTATTGTAATTTTCGTATGGATCTCTATTTTTTTTTATGAAAAATAACATATATTACTAGCTGATAATGTAGCTTTGTATAGATGAAAGAATTTTTTAAATCGCTTGATTAGGTTTTGAGTTTATCTATTAGAAACAAATGACTATATAAAAAAATATCTCCTTCCTATTATACTTTTACCTAGTATAAGTAAATAATCGAAACGATATAATTATCGAATAACCTATTGTTAGATTAATTGTATCCCCAGTCGGTAATCGATACTCGGCAATAATTACACAACACTATGGCGGCCGCCCGCAGTTGTGTCGACGACTTTTGTTCGCACGTGTGCAACCATTTACTTCAACTTTATGTGAGAAGTCCTTTTGTACGATTTGCGATTATGTTCTCTTTATAAAGTTCTCTATTCAAACGGTTTATTAAGATATTTTATTGAATGAATCGCTTGATAAATGTTTCCATGTAGAATAAGCACTCGTTCTTTATAAGCTAAAGCAGCTTTTGCTAATGTAACAAATCTTTATTAAATTAAAAACAAAACAATTTGCTCACAAATATAATCGACTGTTCGTTTTTTAATGGGTGATGATGGAATGGTAACCCAGATTGCGCTATCGGTATACACTGGCGGAGTACCAGTGAATGATGATAGGTCAGTTCTTAATCGTATTTAATTCATATTAAATATAGGCCGTGTGGTCCCGGCATAAAATAGGACTCCTCTATATTGGGTTCCTGTGAAAAGTGATGGCAAAAAAAAAACTCATCATCCATTTCAATATCGCCCATATCGGTCGGACATCTATTTTCGAATACGTTAAAAGTCCGTTATCCAATATTATTTTTTGGATAACACACTTTTAACATATACATATTTTATATACATATATAATTAAAATATATAGATATTGCTATATATTTTAGTTACATTAATATATATACCTATTACCCATCCCTAGTATATACTGATATCACCACTCATTTATTTATTTATTAATTTACAGGATCACCAATATAAGATTAGGCGAAGCATTCAATACAATACAATACACTAGTGGATTAGGTCTAACTGTTGTTACATTTATAGGCAACCGCAGCATGCTTTGTGTTTGATAAACATTAAAATAGAATTAAATTATTAAATGTTATTATAATAATAATAATTTATATACTATTAAAAAAGATACCTAAACCCTAAACAGTTCGCAAGTGTCCATTCATTTGAAACCATACGAGTATGAATAACATCTCACGAACAAAGATCTTCGTTTTCCCCTACATTATAATGAACAGATTATATTTGAATAGAACTACATCAAGACAAAGAAACGGGGTCGATGAACCTACATCGTACTCAATCCCTTAGGCATTTGTCACATCGACTAGGACAGTACGACTGTAGAGTTTTCTCTGATTATTATATTATATTTATGTTTCTGCCATGAAGCAGTTGATTGCATGGCGGTTTTAAGGGTGATTGATATATGACAATAAAGTTACAAAGTACTGAATCATAACACCTTACGGTACTGTCCATGTCTATAGGCAATGGTTACCACTTTCTATCAGGTGGGCCGTCAGTTTGTTTGCCATTTTAAGCTGTATAACAAAAAATTATAATATTGATGTATTTCGCACTTAGATTAATGATTGATATTCAAAACAAATCATTAATCTAAGTTTCTGTATACAAATTGTGTGAGAAAGATGTTTCATTTCATGTATAATGAAACATCTCAACAAGAAGTAATCTTTAACACACACACTTTTGTGACACTTTTCAAACATAACTTTATGAATTATTTTAGATTGGTTTTTGTTTGTATTCTTATTTTCATATATATATATATATATATATATATATATATATATATATATATATATATATATATATATATATATATATATATATATATATATATGAAAATATTAACAATAAAATTGTACACAGACAATATCTACATTGATGGAGATATTTAAAAAAAAATTATATACGACAAATCTTATTAAAAACAGTAGAACCAATATACGAGTATATTAGAATAGTATGTTTCTTCTGGCAATTCCGGCATTCCAAAAATTACTATACAAAATTGGATACTCTTTTCACACTTATATCCCTGTAGATGTAATTTAAAATTTGGTGTATGTCTTATTTATTTATTTATTCATTAGTACAAATATGTGTACATGGCGAACTTAATGCTAAAAGCATTCTCTCCCAGTCAACCATAGGGAAGTATCTTATCTTGATACACTATCTAAAACTTATTTGTTTCATTAATTTCCCTGCTTCTGAAACCTACAAATACAAAGTGACAGCAAAAAAAATACAATAAATTAAATTAAATTTATTTAGAATACGGTCTAGCCTAAAATATTTTATGTCACCACATTTCGGCAGTGAGACAAGTACTTTATACAAGAACATGTCGTACCACATGCATTGTTATTTTGCACGTGCGTCATATAAACTTTCCCATACTTAATGTTTTCAATATTAAACACTAGGATTATATAAAGGATTGTATGGGCTGAATGACAGACAATTATTTCTTTACTTAAACATCGTTTCCTATTAAATTTGTTGTACATAATACTATTGAATGAAGTATAATAGTTCATTGCTCGTTGAATATTTGACGACGAATCGACAATTGAAGACAAAAATTCGAGTGAGAGCCCACGCGGAAGTAGACGTACATAATTAAATATATTAATAGGTATAGTTTATTAATAGGATTTAATGAAAATATAAATATTATATAGATAGTCTCCATAGAAATGCTTCATGAAAAAGAGTCAACTGTTTCAAACAATTTTGCACGATATATAGTTACGAGTGATTCTTTTATAACTTCTATATTTGCTTTGTCTTATAAATCGCCTATAGACATGAGCAGTACCATGGACATAACAGAGTATACTGTTTTGCACATGATACCCCCTATGTGTTGCCATTCCTGAGGACTCAGGTGTTATTCCTCTGTACCCAGTAAATTCACGCCATAACCCAGCCTTCAAACCGAAACACAGCCATGCAAACAAAACTGCTTCACGGTTGAAACACGAATGGGACAGCAATCAACTTTTGTACAAAGTCTAATATGGAAGGTTATGGAACTTCTGATAGTAATAGTGGTGGTCAATCTTCGAGTGTCGACAGTCACACACGTACTAATGGTAGCGGAATTAAACAAAATATTTCTAATCAAATAACCAGTTATAAATCTCAATCACACGGAAGGAACAGCGAGTTTAAAAAACATACCTTAGATTTCTCAAACGACAATCCGAGATGACACTGATGCGTGACCTCGAATCACCGATGTCCAGCGGAGGCAGCGCATTTTTTGATCTTCCAAGCAAACTGTCGGACAAACAGAGATCGTATTTGGTCATGTTGAGATGCGTTACGGAAGTGCAGGATGCAAGAAATGTATGTTAAAACTACTTGGATCCATTATAGAACTCCATTTTCTATATCTCTAAAATTTACAAGTTCCATAACATAATTGTTTTACTAATTAAATTAAAATTGTCATTTTAGGAATGAGATAGGAACGTATACTTCAAAATGGGCTCCTCGTTGTTGCCTGCAAACATACCTGCCTCTATTAAACACTTTGCTCTTCTCCGACTGCCTTCTCTTGGGCTTCAGCCGGTCCACCGCAGAATCGCCAGCGCCGTGCAACGAACCATCTACGGGCGTTATAGTCTTCAAGGCGCTAAAGGCAGATTCCTGGACCAAATTATTGCTCTTTTTTTTATACAACTTAGAATGGCAAATAAGCTGACGGCCCGCCTGATGGAAAGTGGTAAGCGTCGCCTATAGACATGAGCAATACCATGGACATAACAGAGTATACTGTTTCGCCCATGATACCTCCCATGCGTTACCATTTCTGAGGACTCAGGTGTTATTTCTCTGTACCCAGTAAATTCACGCTATATCCCACCCTTCAAACCGAAACACAGCCTTGCAAACACAACTGCTTCACGGTTGAAACACGAACCAACCTCTACGACCTCCAGGCGGTTCCCCCTGGAAACTATCATGGTTAATTCCTGATGAATTCATCATGATGGGCTAACTGACCTGTTTTCATTCTTATCTATCACCGTTCACTGGTGCTCCGCCAGCGTATCCCGTTAGCGCAGGCGGGGTTACCATACCATTTTCACCCATTAAAAAAAACCGCCTCATTCCTAGCAATACACCCTATTAAGTCGACCTCCACGCGTTTTTCCATGGAAACCATCATGACTATTGATAAATTCTTTTCTTCTGCTCATCCTCTATCACTGGTGCCCCGCCAGTGTATACCGATAGCGCAGACGGGGTTACCATACCATCATCAGCCATTAAAAAATTGGATTAACTTTATACATATAAGCCGCCAATACAAAAACACTACACCCTCAGCGCGAGAGATCTACTAAGCGGATTATACGAAGCAAATAGATACTCTTTATTATTTCCTCCAAAAGATTACAATAGTAAACATATAGACACAAACAATTACAAGAAATGTTTACACTGAGAAAACAATGGGCAAATCCTCTTATGATTCGTATAACTTTTCAAAATTTCTGAACCGGGAGAAAAAACATCGTAAATAATGGTGTTCTAAAAGCCAACTACTAACAATAGGGGGAAAGGGATTGTTAGTAACGGAGATTAAGAATCCCATTGCTAGCAATATACCCAACCAGGTCGACCTCCTCTCGGTTCTCCCTGGAAACTATCATGGTTAATTCCTGATGAATTCATCATGATGGGCTAACTGGCCTGTTTTCATTCTCATCTATCACCCTTCACTGGTGCTCCGCCAGCGTATCCCGTTAGCGCAGGCGGGGTTACCATTCCATTTTCACCCATCAAAAAAACTACTAACAATATACCCTATCAGATCGACTTCCACGCAGCACTATCTGGAAACATTTTTGAGGAATTCACCACGAGGGGTTAACTGACCTGCTTTCATTCTCACCTATCATCCCTCACTGATGCACACCAATATATATCGATAGCGCAATTGGGATTAGCATTCTATTATCACCCATTAGGAAAACCCTCTCAACCGAGGGGCGAAGTATAGTGTCCCCATTATTAAAAATCTACCATGTGAGCTCGATCTCCTAACGGTATATCTTGTTAACCATTGTAGTTAATTTTTAGCAAATTCACTACAATATACCAACCGTGAAGCAGCTGTGTTTGCATGGCTATGTTTCGATTTGATGGGTGGGATATGGCAGTGAATTTACAGGGTACAGAGGAATAACACCTGAGTCCTCAGGAATGGCAACGCATAGGGGGTATCAAGGACAAAACAGTATACTCTGTTATGTCCATGGTACTGATCATGTCTATAGGCGACGGTTACCACTTTACGTAGGTGGGCCGTCAGCTTGTTTGCCATTCAAAGTTGCATAAAAATACTGGTCTAAAATCATGATTTATTCTCATCTACTTTCTCCACTAATGCCCCGTCATTATATGCCATTAGCATTGGTGGGTAAATCATTCCATCTTTATCCATTAACAAAAACTGAACCTCAAAAATCTGGGTTGAACATTAAGAGAAATATAAAATATGTACCTTCTGCGTTAATTCCTCCATGCTGTAGTCAGTGACTTTCTGCAACACCTCGCTTTCAGCTGCTAGATTCTCACCGGTCGACGTTGACGGAATCACGCTCGAGTCCTGTACATAATTCACATTGAGCGGGGCTCATTTCTGTTATCACCACCAATGGTTTCTTGCGATCGTCCTGACAAACCTAACCGTGGTTGCTCGGGGGGAAGGGATTGTTAGTAATAGGTTCTAACAGCCCCATTACTAGTAATATACCCTATCAGGTAGACCTTCACGCGGTTCCCCCTGGAAACCATCGTGATTATTGTGGATTCGTCTCGATGAGCTAGCTGACCTGCCTTTTCATCCTCACTAATCATCCCTCACTGCTGCCCCGCCATTGTATACCGATAGCAGCAGGCGGATACGTAGACTGATATATGTATTTAAAACCTTTTCTTAATACATACATACATATACATAAAAAGCACGCAGACCAACACAAACACACATACTCCTTAATACAAATATTATTAGGCCATCGAATCCGTGAAAATCGGAAGATAAGGCGATATATTAGACTACTACACCACCAAGGGTGCCATAATAGAGCTGGAACTTGGTATCATCATCGTCATCATCATATAGTACGTTATCTGTCCACTGATGAACATAGGCCTCCCCCATAGACTGCCATAAGGAACAGTTCCGAGCCACCTGTATCCACTGACTCTAGTGGAAGGTCGTCCTACACTGTGTTTGCCCGTAGTCACCACTCAAGAACCTTTCTTTCCCATCAATTGTCGGTTCTTCAAGCTATGTGACCAGCTCATTGTCACTTCAGCTTGCTTATTCAGTCAGGCTATGGTTCTTCTGCGGATATCCTCATTACAAATTCTATCACACAAAGAAACTACGGGCATACTCCTCTCTATAGCTCGCGAAGTTTTTGCATACGAACAACTGTGTAGGACTATGTTTTGGTTCCGTAGGTCATCACTTAGTTTTTGTATCAACCATTAACTGTCCACTGCTGTACGTAGCCTTCCCCATATGTGGGATTTTGCCAGCAATTGCCACGCTTGGTAGATGGGTTGTCAACCACAGTTTGGCTTTTGGTGATGTTTTAAGAAGAACGCTGCTGCCCATCCCTCCACCATAAGCTCCCTCAGTCGCCTCCTACTACACCCACGGGAAAAGAAGTGACCCATTCTATACCGGGAACGACAAGAATTATCGCTGAGTACTTGATATCTTCTTGTGTAATTGATTGAAGATACTTTATTAGAAAAACTAGGCCAAAAAAACTATCACACCCAGTATGTGTAAATTGATGAAAAAAAGACGAAAGAGACCAGTTTTAACTGACTGATATAAGACAGGAATAACCTACATGTATGTATATACGTGTAGTATTTGAGGGTATCAAGTTACACTATTGAAGGTAACTAAGAAACAAAATGTCATTTAGTCTGTAACCGACCAGTAAACAAGTAACAGTAATCTTGCATTTTTATTCTGAGATCTCTGGAAATACATTACATATTGGCGACGAGAAATAATTCACACGTGTAATTAAAGCTGTATTTATAAATAGATATCGTAGAAGTGATGGCAAGTTACGGAAATATGTTGTTCGGGGGCAGTCTCACGTTTGACCACCGCTCACAAGAATGGGGTATATTCAAGAGTCGTTTTATCCAATACTGCACTGCAAACGATATAAATGACGGAAGTGATAAAAGTGGAGTGAAACGACGCGCATTATTATTAACTGCTTTGGTGGAAGATACATACCGCGTAGCCCGGGATATTGTTTTCCCTACGCCTTTGGAGAACGAGGAATTTAAATTGATTCTAGAAAAATTGGACACGCATTTTTGTGAAAAAAAGAGTACATTTGCGGAGCGATACCAATTTTATAAAGCAGAACAGCGGGTGGGAGAAGAATTAGCAGAATGGGCAGCGCGAGTGCGACATTTAGCACAGTACATATTGTGGTTTTAAAACGGAGTTAGATACCGCCTTGAGAGATCGTTTTATTCTTGGATTGGAAAACGTAAAAGAGAAGGAAAAATTATTCGCCGAATCCATTGATACATTGACTTTTAACAATGCGCTGGAAATAGCACAGAGAGTGCGGTGTTCGCGCTTGGCATTGCAATCGTCACGGGCAGACACAGGGACAGCGCACCAGCAACAACCGGTATATGCGTTGCATACCGGTATCGGCCGCACCGGGACACCAGCGGCGCCGGTGGCGCCGGCGGCGAGATCTCGTCCAGCTCGAACAGCAAGTCAGAACGTACCGTGTGATGTGTGTGGTTACAAAAACCATTCGAAAGAAAAGTGTCGTTATTCAGAATATATATGTCGAAGGTGTAATAAGAAGGGACATTTGCAACGAATGTGTAAATCAAAAGTGAACAGTTGTAAATACTTGGTCACTGTGGATGATAACGACGACGTGGTAGAGGGTAATTTTGATTTATTTAGTATCGAGTGTATAGACGGGCAACCGATGCGTCAGGTAGTTACTATAGACAATAGCGACATATTGTGTGAAATAGACAGCGGCAGCGCGGTATCAGTTTTACCGGACGATATATACCAGTCATATTTTAAAAATAAACATAACCTTAAATCGTGTAATGTTGTGTTGAATTGTTATAATGGAAGTAAAATATCACCGTTGGGGTATGTATCATTACCGATAACGTTTGAGAGATGTACTAAGTTCATTAAATTGTTTGTTATTGTTACTCACGATAATCAACCGGCATTATTGGGCAGGGATTTTATAAGTAATTTTAAATTGAAATTATGTAGTACGCTACATGATTTAAATCATTTAAAAAATGATAATATCGATAATTTTCTTATTAAAAAGTATGAAAAGCTGTTTAGAAATGAACTGGGTACATTTAATAAATACAGGGTACATTTAAAAATTAAACCGGATATTCAATTGAAATTTTTCAAAGCTCGCCCGGTACCTTTAGCGTTGAAACATAAAGTAGAAGGTGAGTTACAGCGATTATCGGACTTAGGTATTTTGGAAAGAGTAGAACATTCGGAATTTGCTACACCGATCGTTCCGGTATTGCGTTCTGATGGTGGTATCAGGATCTGTGGCGATTTTTCAGTGACGCTAAATAAAGCATTATTTATGGACAATTATCCATTGCCGCGCATCGAAGATTTATTTGCGAAATTACATGGCGGATTACAATTTTCTAAATTAGATTTATCCAGGGCCTACAACCAGCTAGAATTGGACGATTCTAAATATTTAACATGTATTAACACACATAAGGGCTTGTTTATTTATAATCGTTTAGTTTTCGGTTTATCTAATGCGCCATCTATTTTTCAGCGCACAATGGAACAGTTATTAGGTGATATAGAGGGTACATGTATATTTTTAGACGATATTTTGATCACAGGGTCCACAAAAGAAGAACATTTGAATAGGTTAGAACAGGTTTTGTGGAGACTACAAGAAGCTGGTTTACGTTTGAAACGGGAAAAGTGCGATCTTTTTAAAGATTGTGTAGAATACTTAGGTTTTCGTATAGATAAAAATGGTTTGCATAAATCAGAAAGTAAAGTAAACGCTATAATTAATAGTAATTGTCCAAAAAACGTTACAGAGCTTAAATCATTTTTAGGAATGATAAACTATTATAGATGTTTCGTTCCTAACACATCTAGTGTATTAAGTCCATTGCACGCTTTATTAAAAAAAAGGCACTAAGTGGACGTGGGGGAAAGAACAAAATGGGGCTTTTAATAAAATTAAGTCAGAATTGGCGTCAGATCGGGTATTGGCTCATTACAGTCCAGAGTACCAGACCATAGTGACGGCGGACGCCGGACCGCAGGGGCTGGGCGCTGTGTTGGCGCAGCGGCAACCAGACGGCACGGAACGCGTGGTCGCCTACGCGTCACGCTCCTTATCTAACTCTGAACGTAATTACGCACAAATTCAAAAAGAAGCCACTTCGATTGTATTTGCGATAAAAAAATTCCACCATTATTTATATGGGCGTTCGACCCCTTTTATTTTGCGTACAGACCACAAGCCACTTATATCGATTTTTTGTCGCGTAGTGTAAATGCAATGGAAATGTTCGACGATAAAAATAAATTAAATATTGACCCCATAACTTATATAAATTTTATTGAAGACTCAATGTTAAAACCTATCACAGTAGAGGACATTAAAAAAGAAACAGGTTTAGATGAAATTTTGAAGAAGGTAGCTTATTATATTAAAACGGGATGGCCCCCCAAGATGACAGATATTAATATAAAGCCTTATTTTTTATGTCGTTTTGAATTATCCTTAGAGAATGAATGTATTTTACGAGGTCATAAAGTAGTAATTCCTCACAAGTTCAGAGAGCGCATATTGAATGAATTGCATAGTTCCCATTTTGGGGTAGTACGCACAAAAACGGAAGCAAGAACGCGTTTTTGGTGGCCAAATATTGATAAACATATTAAAGAAAAAATAGGTTCTTGTAGTTTATGCAATTCTCAGCGTAGTTTACCCCCTCGTTCTCCCCTCGCGCCGTGGGCATTCCCAGCACGACCTTGGGAACGCATTCATTTGGACATGTTTTCAATTGACAAGCATCAGTTTTTAGTAGCTGTCGATGCCTATTCAAAATGGATTGAGTGTTTCTTAATGTCTAATACCGATAGCCAGTCGGTAATTAATAAACTAAATGAGATATTTAGTAGGTTTGGATTGGTTCACACGTTAGTGACAGACAATGCGACAAATTTTTGTTCCACGCAATTTGAGGATTTTTGTGTATTAAATGGTATTAAACACGTCACTATAGCACCATACCACCCGGCGTCCAATGGTCAAGCTGAAAATAGCGTGAAGACGTTAAAAAAGGGTGTACGGAATATTTTAAGAGAAAACACACATCAAAAAGATATTATGAAAAAAATAAACAATTTTTTATTCAATTATCGCAATTCGACACATTGTACAACCGGTTTTTCACCAGCGCAACTATTACTAGGGCGATCACTGCGCTGCCGGCTCGATTTGTTACGCGTTATTGAACCTAATAGCAATAATAATACATCTGAGTCGTTAGCATCCACAGTTCAAAACAATGTTTTTGTTAAACAGACCTTACAGCGTAAGCAATTTGGAGGACATCGCAGGACGGACTTTTCAACAGGAAGTAAAGTTTTAGTAAAACATATTTTTAAAAATGGCATGAAACATATATGGAAATTGGGAACTATACAACGAAAAATTGGTTCTAGGATGTATGTTATTTTTGTACCAGAATTAAATTGTCATGTAAAAAAACATGTGGATCAGTTATTGGCCTATAAAGGAGCTGACATATCTCAGGATTTAGATGATATTAACCTAAGTGATTATTACTCCATTGTTGGGGAGGGGACGGACAGAAACATGAGGGAAGAGACAGTTTCATCAGAGGTTGTGTGTCAAGCTATAGTTCCGGAAGGAGCAATCACCAATCCAGATGTCTGCACTCCAGAGTTACCAGAAACATCAAGCTCATCTCAGGCAGAATTTTCACATGATGACTCTTTCGTCTCCATACCAGACCATAACTCAGTAGGAACAACCGCTGAACAAACGACGTCAACTCACCTGTCATCACTTCCCATAGAAAATGATCCTCAGGAGAAACAAATATCTGTCCCATCGACCTCAGCTACAGTGCCAACGCCGGTGGCAGAGTTGAGGGGCCATCAGAATGATCATACGATGGTTACAGAAGCTGAACCTACGGTTATTAAAAGAGGCCGAAATCCAATACGATCCACAAGAGACAAAAAGGTTAATTATAAACTCTAGGTTAGGTAACTTTAAAATGTTTTGTTTATAGTTTTTAATTTAGTATTTTTTTTTATTTAAGAATAAGTGGGGGAGGGATTGTAGTATTTGAGGGTATCAAGTTACACTATTGAAGGTAACTAAGAAACAAAATGTCATTTAGTCTGTAACCGACCAGTAAACAAGTAACAGTAATCTTGCATTTTTATTTTGAGATCTCTGGAAATACATTACAATACGTAAAGAACAAAAAAATATTTAAAAATTAATAAACAATCCTAGATAACAAAGAACTTACGACATCAAAAATATTAGCATTCTTCTCACGAGTTCTTCTAAATTCTTCGGGCACGTTAATTTTCCCTGGAAACCTTGAAATTAATTTATTCACACTGTATATGTATATGTCTACAATAGTAATTCGAGGTACCTAGAACAAATCCCTTAGCACGAGAAAGAATGCTTTGAGAAATTTGCAGGAATCGATAGTTAAGATCATTTTTGCCACTCGTTGAAGTCATACGCTAGCTTGTATTAAGTGTATAAAACTTATCATACTTAGAATGGCAAACAAGCTGACGGCTCACCTGATGGAATGCGGTAACCGTCGCCTACAGACATGAACAACACTATGGACATGACGGAATAAGTGATATCTCACTGTGAAAACCATGGAACCCCTCATGTGTTGCCATTCCTAAAGACTATGTTGCCATACCCTGTAATTTCGCTGTCATATCCCTTCAAACTGAAACCCAACCACGCAAGCATAGCTGCTTAATGGCAGAAAGACAAGTGCCATAGAAGTACACATGCAAACGACTTTAAATAGCTGTATGGTAACAGAAAACTGCCAACTGTCTCCTTATTTAGTCGCTATTAACCCAGATATATGCACATTATACATTTCTGTAAGATCTCTTTAGTAGACAATAAATATTCACCAGTATTCTGATGGAATCTCTTCGACAACTGGGACATCTAGTGAATGATTACTTGGCCATTTCTCCAGCACTTCTTCTGAGGTGTCCTCCACTATATTCAGATCGTTGCGACACCAGGTGTCTTTTGGTGACGGGTCTGGTAGCTCATCAGGTATCCACGACTCCACTCGTTTTGGGATATTACAGGGTGGATATGCACTTGGGTCTTCGCCAGGGTCGTGTCGATAGAAATTCCTTCCAATAAATTATGTTCATTCACATAATTGTTACCTAGTACCTACATTTTTATATAAAAATAATATATTAAGAACTTCCACGGTCCGAACAATTTATTATTTCAGCCATTTACTGTCCACCGCTGGACATAAGCCTTCCCCATAAGGGGAGTTTTGCCAGTATTTGCCATTGTTGGCTGGCAGTTTGGGAACAGCAGTTAAGCTTTGAAAATGTTTTAAAAGGAACGCTGCTGCCCATTCCTCGCCCTCCCTTAGTCGTCTCTTACGACACCCACAGGAAAGGAAGGGGTGACCCATTCTATCTATGCCGGGACACACAGGGCGAATTTATCTATTATTATAATTATGTTAGTAAAGAAAGCAAGAGGCAATCCGTCAAGATGGCAATGAACCAGGAAATAGTTTACAATTTAGTAAAAAAAGTGAAATATTTTAAATTTTAACAATTCATAGCGGTTGTATTTTATAGTTTGTCGTGGGGCCTGTATACTTCCATAATTAAGATTAATTAGACGACATCCTATTCAAAATATATAGGATAGAGAAAAAAAACAAAGAAAATTATTTTCCAAAAAGGACCTGGCCCTATAAAAGGTGCCTATGTACTTTCAGATACGTCTTTGCGTGTAAGTGTACGCTTTATTCGCATCTTGGGGTGAATCCCAAACATTTTTGGCCTCTCTTGAAATACGCCTATATATACTTTTGCATGTTGTAATAAATGCAAATATATTTACCAATCAATCAACTTGAGCCACGCTTGAGCTGCACAGTGCGCGGTGAAAAACACAGTTTGCCTCTCCATGTAGTGATCATAACCAATTCTCAGTGCCTCTTCAATAATTTCTTCACGGATGTCAAAGATTACCAAGTCGTTTTCTTCCTTTTGGAGTATTTCCGCCCTAGAAGTTGGAATTATTACTAGCAAGTTCAATTTAACATCTAAAATTAAAATCAGGTGGGTATGATCTTTACAAATATCATTATAATTTTTCAAAATGAAATGCTCACCCGTCCTGCGCTCTTGGTTTACAATAACTGGGTATCAATAAAGAATGAGAAGTGAAGATGAGTCAGGTCAGTTTATAATGGAATGGTAACATCGCCTGCTGTGAGAACTTACCAAAGTATGTGAGAATGAAATAGCAGGACAGTTAATTCGTCGTAATGGATACACCTTGAATTCAGCACGATGGTTTTCAGAGAGATCACAGGAAGGTCCTTGAACAACATCGTGTTCAGTTCCAAGTGCGTTGCGCTAACGGCATACGTTGGCGGAGCACCGGTGAAAGATTTTAGGTGAAAATAAAAAGGCAGGTCAGTGAACCCATCCTGATGAATACACTAGGAATTCAACAGAATGGTTTCCAGGGAGGACCACTTGGAGATTGACCTGACAGGATGTATTCCTAGCAATGGAACTGGTAGTTCGCATTACTAACAATCCCTTACCCCCGAGCATATACCGTTAGCGCAGACGGGGTTACCATTCCATTACCATCCATTTAAAAAAACCCCGTCCCCCGCCATCGGAATAAGCAATGGGACTACCAATTCCCCTTACTAACTATGCACACTCCGCTTAAAAACAATATTGGGTATACACGTCTCAGAAGTATTATTCGTGTTTAGTACAGTTGTATTATTGGGGTGAGTGCACCTATTGCTAGGATACCGAATACCATAACTTTCTCTGATTTCCTCGTGATTAGTTTAAATGAAGATTTTCATTATGTTCTTTTAATTTTTTTTTTATGATTATTTCGTGGAGTGATAAACAAGTAAAATGTTAACTAAAATACACACAAAGCATATAAGTTTAATTATTATAAAGTATGGAAACAGGTGAGTTTGGATACTTAAGTTTTTTTTTTTTTGTCTTTCCTTGTTATTTGAAAGTACATAAAAGATTCTGATGAATACCTCACTACTCTTCAATGCAATGGGCTTTATTCTCATTTATCATTCACTATTTAAAAAAAACTTAGGTTTCGTACTCTTAAAAAATGCTACGACAAAATTTACAATAATAAAGTTGTTATTTTTGTATAATTATCAGAATAATATTTATTTTGTGATACCATATAACGATAGGTGAAATTATTTAAAAAAAAAAAAAAACTTATCAGTTACCCAATTTTTTTTATACAACTCAGAATGGCGAACAAACTGACGGCCCACTTGATGAAAAGTGATAACCGTCGCCTATAGACATGAAACAGTACCGAGGACATAACAGTATACTGTTTTGCCTATGATACCTCCCATGCATTGCGATTCCTGTAGAATCAGGTGTTATTCCTCTGTATCCAGTAAATTCAATATTATATCCCACCGTTCAAACCGAAACACAGCCATTGCATGGCTGTGTTTCGGTTTGAACGGTGGCCATACAACTGTTTCACGGTTGAAACACGAATGGGACGGAGGTGCTCAAGCAATTCCCTCTGGTAATCATAACGACAATGAAAAAAGTAAAATTTTTACCATGTTCTTTCAGGAACATCCTTTGGCAGTGCGGCTAGCGTCCTTTGATCATCCGAAGTTTGTAACTTTCTTCCTCTTCTTGATATCCTAAACTTGTTAATTGAGGAATACACAGAATTAGTTGCCATATTTTAGTTGTTTTATAAATAACAACTTAACAAACTAGATGCATTTATATATCGAGATATGTTAAAAAAGAAACTATTTTTATATTATTATGATAAATTAGTAAATACTTATGTCATAAACTTACTACAGACCAAAAAGTTTTTAATATTTCTACTCTTTCTTACAAGATGTAACTATCTACACATAGTTTACTAATTAACACCCTAAAATCGTGTTCATTATTTAGAATGAGGGATGTTTTTATAACGTCATGTATATTTTCCTCTAATATACGTCCAACCTCATGCTTTAATAATTTTATAGAATTTGGACGTGAAAACATGACAAACATACAAAGTATTAATTTTATATTTCTCTCACTTTTACTCAATTTAATAAAGCAGATAATATGGGGTAATCCGTTCCCGACATATCTACATACGCTTATCTCAAAATAATGTTGTTCCATTATTTATCAGCAGGGATTATTCACCTAGGTTATCTAACGAATAAAAGATAAATCTTCATATAGGTAAAATTAGAGGTGCAGTGGGTAATTTGTAATTTATTATATTTAGCTTACGTATAATAAACGTAATTGAAAACAAATAGTGGCCAGAAACTATGCTTGACCATAGAGTAACAGGTGACAGATGTTAAAAAAAATACAGGTGACAAAAACCGAGCGCAAAATATAAAAAAAAACATTGATTCAAATTTTTATCTAAAATATCAAAAGTGCAAAATGTTGAACGTTTACATCAACCAATAAAGTTTATTGTTTACTATTGGACACTAAATAATGAGTGTATATTTTGTGTACTTGACTTTTGTGATTTAATTTGTATCATGTACAGTTTAAAAGGCATATTTCCAGAGCCAAGTAAGTGTCGATACGTTACATTCGAATTGAATAGGGATTATTCGGATTACATACAGCGACCGTTGACATGACCATCTTTTATTCTATTCGTTTGTTATTAATAATAAATTTAATATTACTTTTGATGTCCTTTTTATAGTTACCAACGTACAATCATAAACTTTTGTATTATTTCAGAAAAGGAGCAAAAAAAGAATTTTATCCGAGAAAATATGAAGCAATTAAAGTTTATACAAGGCAAGTCGCCAAAAGAGCCTAGATTTCAATTAAAAAATGCTCACGGTACTCGACTGAGCAACCCATCACCAGCTGGTAGCTCTTTAAGCCAAGTTAAGTCATCACCATCAAATAAAAGCGGGAAGATTACTACTCTAAATGTTTCTAAAACCAACTCAATGAATTCTCGAAAGAAGAGTCCTGATTTAAGAATAAAAAAAGGTGACATGGCAGAATTTTTGAAACGGAAAGAGTTGAGGCAGACCAAACCTGCAGATCACTTATTGGATGAAGATGTGAAGTCTTCAGACTCATCTGATCGTTTACGTGATGTCGCTTGTCAGACTGTGGAAACAAATCTAGCTCAGAAATTGGAAAGTGCAAAGTTAACTATGTTATATCCTAAAGAAAGTGAAGATGAGGCGAAACTTAAAGCAAGTGGGGACAGAGGACACTATAGAAGCCCAGTGATGTCACCACAGAGACATACAAATGATGACATATTGGAATTAGAACATAATCGTAGCAGGCTCAATTCTATATTAGAGAGAAAAGATAATAAAGATCCTTATTTGCCCTCTGGTATGGTAACTTTTGTAAATTAGTTGTTTTGATCCACGTCTGGCTATCTAAAATTATTGATTTTTTATTAATTATTACTATTCTTTTATTTATAGGTTATCAAAAAGGTGTTGTACCAAAATACATACGAGAACGCAAGGACCAAATCACTAAGGAGTTGGAGAACTCGAAAGTTGAAGATAATCACATTATGTGCCCCCCTGGCCATGTGACCCTTCCAGATACTGAGAGGAAGGAAACTTTACGTATGCTCAGAAATAGTTAGTATGCACATTAATTCCAGTTATGTAAATATATATATACTACCCTTTAACATGACTAAAATTACAAGATTTGGAGGTACATATTAATCCACAATATTGGCAATGCATGAACAGTATCATAGATATCTTCTGTTCCTGCCCTGCCGACTTTATACATGCAATCCACTCTCCCCTGTAAATTTATTCACATAATGATATTCTGTAAACATGCCCATAGAATTGCAACATCCATAATTTTACTTTCATTACATGCATATTAAAAAAGGTCATGCATCATATAAAAAAATTGAAAATGTATTTAAATATACATAATATAGAGGAGTGTAATATATAGAGATATAGTACTATAGAGAATTTGTCACGATGGGCCAACTGACCTGCTTCATCCTCACCTATCATCTCACACTGGTGCCCCGCTGATGTATATCGATAGCGTGGGTGGAGCTACCATTCCATTATCACCCATTAAAAAAAAAACTGCATACAACATCGTAATATAGAAATTACAATGTACAGAGACATAACCCCTTAATCCTCAAGAATAGCAATGCATAAAAGGTATCATGGGCGACACAGTATACTGTTATATCTATGGTACTGTTCATTTCTATAGGTGATGGTTACCACTTTCCATCAGGTGGGCTGTCAGCTTGTTTGCTATTCTAAGTCACATAAAAAGTAAAAAAAAAACAAAAATATTTAATATTACAGGCTTCGCCGAGTTGGTAAACGAACTTAACAAAATGCCAGTGAAGACGGACACATTGAGAATGAGAAATAGAAAAATGGAGTTAGAGAAACAGCTCGCCAAACTGGAAGAAGGCATCAAAGTGTTCTCTAGACCAAAGGTTTTTGTCAAGATAGGAGAATGAGTTGTAAACCCTGACTGGAGTTGATTGCTGTTCCAGATTTGTGATGTATACCACTTTACCGTCCAGTATTATATTTAAATGTAAACAAAATTAAATATGTAAAAATTCTTGTGATCTCTGTATGTAAGTTTCTTTTTCTTGTATTTTAGAATATAATTAATTAATGTTGTATGTTAAATAACTTTGTTGTAATTAATATAATAATATCGTTTGTACGGTTTACAGTGTTTCTATAACGTTTTTTTGGATATTCAAATACATATATTGATTTATAGATATTTAATTATTTAGTTAAATAAAACAGTTTTTATCAAATAGAAATTATATTTCTATAACTTGACTACGTTATTGTTAATGTTTGGTTTTTAATGAACAACATAATAATTAGGTAAAAACAATAAATTCTTACTAATTTTGTCATGCATAAATAACATAAAAACATCACATTTTTTAATAAAATCATAATTTACAATACAACAGTTAATGAACATTTGTATGTAAACAGACTTACATAAACATCTAATGGAATCTACAGTTTATATGTACATAACGAAACTAATTTATTGCAAGCGGTATTTTTAAGGATTTAATACATTAAAATTACTACATAATATGCAGTTTCACATTTGTACTTGATTTGTAAATGCACAGTAAAACAAACTAAAATTGTATGTACATTTGACGGACTTAACGCCAGACGGTGTTCTCTACCAATCAACCATTGGGCAAATCGAGAAATAAGTAGGTGGGGCATTATTGAATTGAAGGAATATAAAATTTTATATATACATATAATTAGACTAATATAAACATATAATATATTAAAACAATAAATATATTATCATACATAAATATTACTATAACAAACGACTCTTAGAAGAGCAAATGAAACATTCTATGACTTAATCAAAGTCACCAAACAAATTAAAAGGAAAATGAGAAAAAAAAGGGTATGGAGTTCATAAATCGACCTTTTTTAAAAAAAAATAGGAACGCAATTTATGTTTAAAAGCTAGTTTGCTTTAATGATCGTATTACTTCCCCAAGTCACGCCCATAAATTCGTTTCATTAAAATTAAGGTAGGTACTACCTTTTGCACGCGAAATCACAACACTAATAATTACATTAATGTATTAAAGTATTTCTATTAATTATCTAATACACATAATAGCTCCGCTTACTTGAGGACAAGATTATGAGTCCAATGCTATTTACCTATCTTCACTCCAAATACCTCTTGTGGAGTAGAGAAAAATATCAAGACCACCTCTATCTTATCTCGCTTCATTCCTTTTAAGTTGTACATACATACATGGAGACATGATTGTTCCCACAGATAAGATTTATTTATATATTGCAAGGTCCCTTATAAAGTTAGTAAAGTAACTAATTAAAAACTATAATATTAGTAAACAAGCCTATCCATAGAGTATCACTATGTTTTTTTTTTAATTTATGCACATACCTGGAGCCATAGCACATACAATATTATTTGTATCAGAAACATTACATCTGCTGTACTGTGTTGTAATGGAATATTTTCAGTATCAGCAATATTGCCCTGTGTTTAACAGTATTGTTTATTTTCATATCTAACCTGTTTACATTTTGTTTAATAATAGTATCAAAATTATATTTTATTAAGCTACAATAAAAGCAACTTGATTGCAGAAATATTTGTATATGTGTGGATTGCTGCTTGCACCAAGTTTACAAAAAACAATAAACTGCCAACGTAACAAACATGTTAAGTATGCTGGTTGTGCTCATTGAAAAATTATGCTATAGTTTCCTAACATGTTTGAATAAATGTTCATTAAATACAATAGGGCCCTTTCTGTATAGAGGTTCCTCATTATTGTGCCACTCATAGAATGAAAACTCTGGGAAGAAAAACTTGATTTCTCTCTCAGCTGATGATGGTGAATCTGAAACATAGATAATTTCCTCTATAGTCTTTTATTACTACTAAATAAATATCACAGTATTGTTTGACAACAATGACAAATAATGCCCTCTCATGTGTTGCTTCTAATGTAAACTCCCAAAAGTTTTCTTTATTTACTTCATTCTTCTTTATTCACTCCTTTATTTATTTATTTAATTGTGAGGAATTATAAATCCTTAAGGATTTAATTTAATTAAAATAATATAACAAGATGGGATAATCTTTAAAGATTATCCCATCTTGTTATATTATTTTTAATTTAAGATAAAGGTCAGGACACAGGAATACATATAAACACATTTTTTGTTCCCTTTATATTCACCTTTATTTATACTATTAAGCAATAAAGATATGGCAGTGAAGTAAGAAAATAAGGAGACAGTCCTCAGGAATGGTAATGCATATAAGATAGCACAGGCTTTACAATTTATTCTATCATGTCCATAGTGCTATTCCGGTGTATAGGCAATGGTTACTACTTCCCATCAGGTGGGTTGTCAACTTGTTTGCCAGTTACATAACAATGATATATAGTTACCTGAACCATGTGCAACATTCCTAGTGTCAGATATTCCAAACAAACTCCTCAAACTGTTTGGATCCTGGAACTGCGCCTTGTACACGCTGGTAGGACCCAGCATCTGTCTCCATAACTGTATTGCATTTGAATGCCCCATAACATGCAAGTCTATGTAACCACTGAAATGTTTAAAATTGCAGATGAAAAAAAAAAGTATTAATTTATTAGTATCATCATCATTTCAGTCATTATCCGTCCCCTGCTGGACATAAGCCTCCCCCATAGACTGCCATAAAGAACGGTCCTGAACCACCTAAGTATAGTACTAATATATGAAAATATATGAAGATAAAATCTGGTCATTAGGCCTTCATGACAAATTCATCAAGAAATATCTACAATGATTTCCAGGGATGACTGTGGAGAGCAATCTGACGGATAATCCCCTAACTAAAAATTCCTTTCCTCTCGATGGAGCCATTATATTAATAACAATCCCTTTCTTCCAGTTTAAGGTTTTTGTTATTTCGACTCCTAGGGTAGTCTTCCAAACAAATCATGTAGGATTTTTATCCAAGTTCGTTATGAAGTAAATAGAGAATTAAGATTGATGCATTGCCATCTTCTATTCTTATTTAATTTTAAGTAACTCTATTAAGTTCTCAGGGTATCCACTGGCCAAGTTCTAAGTAATCATTAAGGTTATATAAGTAATCCTTACCTTGCCATAAATGTAATAAGGCGTTTGTAAAAAAACTTTCCAACATGCTCTTTGTAAAATCTACTGGCGCTCTCGGTATCTAAAGAAACTCTCTTCGTTTTAATAACGATGAATTTATTTTTCATAACATGTCTAATGTACGACAATGCTACTGGATTTTTAACAGCATGCGGTTTTATTATAGCCAAAGTAAGTTGCAACTTTTGCATACTTTTTTAAATTTGACTCCATTCAGTAAAAAATATTTAAATTTTTTGTTGTTTTTATCATACTATATCAAGAAATGGTAAGAAATTTGAACGAAGCAAGAACAATGATTTTTGACATTTTTGTTTTTTTTTTACCATAAACAAAAACTATTATATTTTAAGAAGTCTAAACAAAAGAAAATCTACGTAAATACAATCCTGTTGTAACTATAATAGAAAGCAACGCTTTCCTCTGGTTAAATACTCTTTCCTAGAAAGTATTTTATCAATCAGCGGGGACCCCAAAGGAAATTTTTACCCCACTTGAAAAATATATTTTAATGATTTAATTTTAATAATGTATTATTAGATAATATTTTTGTCTTCAATCTAGGTTTATTTATTTATTTCATTTAATTCCAAAATACACTTAATTAATTTTAATTTAATTTAAAAATATCATATTTGTGGCTTTAATCTTAAAGAAAATACTTTTTATATTATTTTTTCACTTAAGGTTTTATTCCATTTTAGCCCGAAAATTTGCAATAAATTGGTAACACTAAAAAAATATTGTCATGTTTGTTGACAATCTACAAATTACTTAGCGAATAGTTTTAGGTTATAAATATTATTTTATACCTATTATTTTGTTTTCTAAAGAACATTGAAAGTAAACATGCCTGAAATGGAAATAAAAAGAAAAGCGGACGACTATTCCGTCGTCCCAGCCAAGCGGACACGTCATGAAATATCTGTTGTCGGTACTAGAGAAAAAGCAGTGGTCACTTCTGCAGTGAGTTTATTTTGCATTATTTATATCAGTTACATTATATAAAAAATTAACTTGTATTTAGTCAAAGAATACTCCTTAATATGCTTGATAAGTAAATTATACATATGCATATGCTTGATAAGTAAATTAAACATGTAAATAATAAATAATTTTCAATTGAGATTTGTACAACGCTATATGTTATTTGCAATTGTCTGATCTGCTAATCATTATTATATTATTTTAAATTCAGGTGCCTCGTACTTCAAATCTATATGCTCCCATCATGTTACTGGAGGGCCACCAGGGAGAAATATTTTCAGCTAAATTCCATCCTGAGGGTAAACATTTGGCATCTGCAGGCTTTGATAGACAAATATGTAAGTGTACTATTTTATTATTCAATTCAATTCAATAATTTATTGTATTTTCATGTTATAACAATATTTTTAGCATTAGAGGTGCAGTATCAACATTAAACCTGTAAAGTCACAAAAGTCATATTAAAAAATGTTTATAACATAAAATACACAGCTACATTTTTATACTATTCTATTATTATCCCTTGGTATCAATGGGGGAAAGGATTGTTAGTAATGGAGAGGTTATTCCCAATTGCTCTCAATATACCCTATCAGGTTGACCTCCATGCGGTTCCTCCTAAAAACTGTCTTGACTAATTTATCATTGAATCCATCATAATGGGCTAACTAACCTGCCTTTTCATCCTCACCAATCAACCCTTACTGTCGCCCCGCCAGTGTATACCGATCGCACAGGAGGAGTTGCCATTATATTATCATCCATTAAAAAAAACCCAATGTGTCCCACTGCTGTTAATGTGAGTAAAGCCCTTAACTATGCAGAGTACATGTGGAAGAGTCACAATATGTCTTTTAAGGGTCCAGGCCTTTTAGTCTAAACATGCCAATAAATTAATTTAAAAAGATTTCTTATTTCTATTCTCTTGTACATCCTGAGGATGAAAAAAGAGAGATGCACATTGTATTAAATGTTATGACTGCATGGAAATGTTTATAACATGGGAATGATTGTTTTTTTTTGTTCGATTTACAGTTTTATGGAATGTGTACGGCCAATGTGAAAATGTGATGGTGATGAGTGGTCACACGGGCGCCATCATGGAGCTGTGCTTCTCCCCAGATGGCTCACACCTGTACACGTGCGCCACGGACAACACAGTTGCCGTGTGGGACGTACCCACCGGTACTAGGATTAAGAAACTTAAAGGGCATTCCAATTTTGTAAATTCTGTATCAGGTTAGTAGTTACCGTTGAAAATCTTGGGATATATTTATAAAAATGATCAAGTAAGCATCATAAATATAACATCACAAGTTAAATTTCAAATTAATTACATGCTCTAAACTAACAATGAAATGTTTCTTTTTTTTTAATATAAAAAAAAAAAAGCATAATAATTTATGATCTGTGTATATAACATTTCATTTCATTGTTCACATAAAAAATTAAAGGAAACAATAAAGTTCTATACTTTTAAAATATTTCTAATAAAAGCTTTTGTTCTTATTTCAATTACAGTGTTTTTGATTTGTAATCATTTGTTATGGGATTCCATAAGATAAATGGTATTTGCTGGTTGTTCTGTTATCTTAAAAGTTTAGGAACCCCTGCTATAGACTAGCCTTTCCCAAAGTGGGCGATAACGCCCCCTTGTGGGCGCTGCAGGCCTAAAGGAGGGCAGTAAGAGACCCAGAAAAAAAATGGGGGCTTTGTGTAGAGGCTCGGGGGTGATTTGTTGATCTTGAAGTAATAGTGGTTTTTAAGTAGGAGAGCTAAAAAATAATTTATTCTCAAAGTGGGCATTAGAAAAAATAAGTTTGGGAACCCCTGCTATAGACGATAATATCTCACAACAGTTTAAGCAAAAAAATATTGTTAATTTCTAAAAAATAATAAAATTTCTAACCAAAACTGAAAATTTAATTCAGTTTTATTTTAAATTCCAAGTTAATATTTCATTGTAACAATGCATAAAATCTGTCTGCACTTTGAACTCTCTGTTTAGCCTATAGCCTATATAAAATGAATATAAATTATATAAAAATTGTTTTTCTACATTTCCAGGTGCAAGAAGAGGCCCAGAACTACTAGTTTCAGCTTCAGATGACAACACAATAAAACTGTGGGATGCCAGGAAAAGGAACCCAATCGCTTCCTTTGACAGCACATACCCTGTCACATCTGTACTCTTCAACGACACTGCCGAGAAAATAATATCAGGGGGCATTGACAATGTGATCAAAGTGTGGGACATTAGAAATAATCAGATAGCATACAAAATCAAAGGACACACAGATACAGTTACAGGTTAGGCTTTTTTAAAATGTATGTCTTGTTTAGACAACTCACTTCCATAAGGATTAAATTTATTAATTAAATTCTCATTATACATACATATAGACATGGTTAAAAAGTGAACATAAATTTTTAAAATGGTTATTTGCTTAGAATTATTATACATATAGTTTAATTACGACTACCTGTTAGTAAAAACTGAGATTCTACTAATCTCTGACCATTATTCAATCTACACCTCTAAGCCAGGCATCTACAGTCAATTAATCAATCCATACTCAAAGACTAGTGTTGATCATTGGATGCAGTTGATACCTGTTGCTTAATTTCATCATATGCGAAAAATAAGATAAGATCATACAAACTAAACTGCCTGCTACAAACTAAAATTCCATCCCAACCATCTGGATGAGTGGTGGTCCTCCACCATGTGTTTTTCAAGTTATTTTCTTCCATGCACCACACTCCGGAATCGACTTCCAGTAGCAGTAATCCAGAACCAATATGAAATATTAGTCTTCCTTTTTTAAAATGCTGGCAACACACCTGCAATTCCTTCGGTATTGCATGTACTCATGGACCGCGTTAGTTACTTACCATCAGGTGAGCCTCATGCTCATTGCATGGGTACCTCTGTCCCATTCATGTTTCAACCGTGAAGCAGTTGTGTTTGCATAGCTGTGTTTCGGTTTGAAGGGTGGGATATGGCGTGAATTTACAGGGTACAGAGGAATAACATCTGAGTCTTCAGGAATGGCAACGCATGGGGGGTATCATGGGCGAAACAGTATACTCTGTTATGTCCATGGTACTGCTCATGTCTATAGGCGACGGTTACCACTTTCCATCAGGTGGGCCGTCAGCTTGTTTGCCATTATAAGTTGTATAAAAAAAAAAAATGCTCGTTTGTCCCCTGTATTTATAAAAAATAGAGAAAAGTCGCATCATAGACATATCTTTATCGCATCTTTACCAGAGGGAGACTTTGTACAAAAGTCGTTTGCTTGAATACCTCTGTCCCATTCGTGTTTCTACCGTGAAGCAGTTGTGTTTGCATGGCTGTGTTTTGGTATAAAGGGTGGGATATGGCAGTGAATTTACAGGGTACAAAGGAATAACACCTGAGTCCCCAGGAATGGCAACGCATGGGGGGTATCATGGGTGAAACAGTATACTCTGTTATGTCCTTAGTACTGCTCATGTCTATAGGCAACGGTTACCACTTTCCATCAGGTGGGCCGTCAGCTTGTTTGCCTTTCTAAGTTGCATAAAAAAAAACTTGTTACTATGTATGCAGGGTTGTCCCTGTCGTCGGACGGCTCGTACCTGTTATCAAACTCGATGGATAACACGCTTCGCATCTGGGACGTGCGGCCGTTCGCGCCGTCTGACCGCTGCGTGAAGCTCATGTCGGGGCACCAGCACAACTTCGAGAAGAACCTACTTCGCTGCGCCTGGTCACCAGACGGCTCCAAGGTAATTCACCATTATAGAATGGAATTAATTCAAGCTATTTAAATAATCATTTTTACGATTCTACTTCTGGGTTCGGATTATAGATTCTCGGCTCTAGCTATAGTGTTGCCATATTGGCCAAAAGTGAGAAAGTTACATATGGCCTTATATTAATTTACTGCAGTTTATAATCGAAATCCTTCCATTTCACTTTTAAAGCCTTTATTAGTTTACCATAAATTATAATTACACTATTACTGGTCACCCTGCACACTAGTCACTGGGTCAATGTACCCTTTATATTGTAATTTCTATTAGGTATCTGTCTTTTTTCTTATATTTATCCAAAATTCAACTTTTCTGATCCCTATCCTAAATTCTGTCATCCAAAACTCCCTTTACTAAAATGCTTTTTCCCAAACTTTGTTTTTGGCGGATGCACTTTGTGCTATGCCACATGAAGAGGAAAAAGATACAACACAAAGGCCACCTCCAGCGTCTTCTATCTTTTTCTCTCTCTTACTGTCCTGAGCCAACCCGCTTGATTTCATCCGATCATCTTTTATATTGGCCTTTTTTCCTTTTAGTTCTGTAATGATGACTCCATTCTGTTACAGTGTTGGCCCATTTAGTGCTACCTCTTACCATATGGCATGCCCATCTCCATTTCAATCTTTTGATTATACTATTGCCCATAATAAAAAAAATACTATAACAGAAATCCCATTAAACTAAAAATTCAAAACGTCAAAAAGAAATGTCCACTCTCATACTAAATACTAAATTCACAGCTAAATATATTGTGATGTGTGTGTTGTGTTAAGAGATGCAAAATATTGTTTTACAACTTATATTTCTTTGGTAAAAACAGTTCAGAAAAGATTTTGCATACTATATATAATTAGCATTGTACATCACATAAACATAGTATGTTTATATCATATCAGGATTTGTTTTATACAACTTAGAATGGACAAACAAGCTGACGGCCCACCTGATGGAAAGTGGTAACCGTCGCCTATAGACATGAGCAGTACCATGGACATAACAAAGTATCCTGTTTCGCCCATGATTCAAAATTTGATCCTTCATAAAACAATTCAATATATATATATATATATATATATATATATATATATATATATATATATATATATATATATATATATATATATATATATATATATATATATATATATATATATATATATATATATATATATATATATATATATATATATATATATATATATATATATATATATATATATATATATATATTTTTTTTATTTATTTATTTGACACTTTATTGCACCAACATAGTGTAGTACAAAAGGCGGTCTTATTGCTAAGCAATCTCTTCCAGACAACATTTGGGTAGAAAGGGTAGGTGGCGCGTTAAGAAAGATAGATTTGTAAAAAATAATATCTGTGACAGCATAGTCATATACATATACATACATAAATTAACACATACAACCAAACATATACATATATATATATATACATACATATATATATATATATATATATATATATATATATATATATATATATATATAACTTATTTATACGAGTATTATTTTTTTAGTTTCTTTTTTTAATGGATGACAATGTAACGTGACCCCGCCTGCGTTATCTGTATACACTGGCGGGGCGCCAATGAGGGATGATAGGTGAGGATAAAACATGTCAGTTGACCCATAGTGACAAATTGATAAAGAATTAATCAAGATGATTTCCAAGGGGAACCGCGTGGAGGTCGACCTTATAGAGTATATTCCTAGCAATAAGGCTATTAGATCCCCAATACTAACAATCCCTTCCCTCCCCATTACAGGTATCAGCAGGATCTGCAGACCGGTTCCTGTACGTTTGGGACACTACGACGCGACGAGTGTTGTATCGACTGCCAGGGCATAACGGATCACTCAACGACGTGCACTTCCACCCCACAGAGCCGATCGTGCTGTCAGCGTCCAGCGACAAGCAGATATACCTCGGCGAGATAGAACATTGATGTATCAAGTAAACATGAATAAGATAAGCAGCATGCACGTGACAACCTCGAGGTCTTATTACATTTTTTTTAAATACTTGTCAGATTTACAGCATGGGGTTCTTCAAAAGGGGGGTAAAGGTTTCTTCAGGGTCGGTAACGCGCGCGTGTACCCCTGGCATTGCAGGCGTTCACAGGCTATGGTAACCGCTTACCATCACGAGGGACGTAATGCTTGTTTGCCACTTCAGTGGTATAAAAAAAAATAGGTCACGTGACTACAAACTGTCCTGTTTTGTCTATGGTCAAAAACCCGCATTACTCTAGTTATAAAACGTCTTTGAATCTGTGCTAATTCATTAACTTCAGACCCTCGGTACGAGCCCATTAAACTCAGCGCGTTTAATTATATTAAACTTTTTTTATGCAACTTAGAATGGCAAACAAGCTGACGGCCCACCTGATGTAAAGCGGTAACCGTCACCTATAGACGTGAGCAGTGCCATGGACATAACAGAGTATACTGTTTTACCCATGATACCCCCCCATGCGTTGCCATTCCTGAGAACTCAGGTGTTGTCTCTGTACCCTGTAAATTCACGGTCATATCCCACCCTTCACATAAATGGCTCTTTAACCTCCCAGAACAGAGTCACAAAGCACGTGTTTCACATCATATTATTTTATACAAAAGTCGATTGCTTGGGTACCTCTGTCCCATTCGTGTTTCAACCGTGAAGCACTTGTGTTTGCATGGCTGTGTTTCGGTTTGAAGGGTGGGATATGGCGTGAATTTACTGGGTACAGAGGAATAACACCTGAGTCCACAGGAATGGCAACGCATGGGGGGTATCATGGGCGAAACAGTATACTCTGTTATGTCCATGATACTGCTCATGTCTATACGCGACGGTTACCACTTTCCATCAGGTGGGCCGTCAGCTTAATTGCCATTCTAAGTTGTATAAAAAAAAAAAGACAAGAGCCCGTACTACTGTTATTAAATCTTGCAAATAGAATATTTATTAAAATGTACGTATAAATAAATTAGTAGTATATAAGTAAATAAATAAGGTTTTATACTAAAATTATTCTTCTTTACCGTAACAGAATCCCTCAAGAGTTAATCCTATATAACCTTTTTGGGATGCTTACATTGACAAACAAAACTGTTGACCCACCTGATGGAAATGGTAACCGGCGTCTGTAGACTGAACTAAAATCCCGTGTAGTTCCAGCATAGAATTAACCACCAGTTCCTTTCCTATGAGTGTCGTAAGAGGCGATTAAGGGAGGATGTGTAGCAGCGTCCATTTTAAAACATCTCCAAGGCGTAACTGTTGCGGTTGCCAATCCACCTGCCAAGCATGGCAACTACTGGCAAACCCCCCTAGGGGGTAGCTTATATTCAGCAGTGGACATTTAAAGGCTGATATAATAATGATAGACTGAACAGCACTATGTCAGAATATTCTGTACTAGAATGTCATTCCTAGAGACTATGGTATTTATTATACCCCGTAGTTTCATTCCCATATCCCACTCTTTAACTTGAAACAGCTTTTCACGACAGAAAAAAGATTGGAACCTTATATTATGAAGTATACAACTAAGTTATACTCGGGGGGAAAGGGATTGTTAGTGATGGAGACTGAGAATCCCATTGCTAGCAATATACCCAACCAGGTCGACCTCCCCGCGGTTTCCCCTGGAAACTATCATGGTTAATTCCTGATGAATTCATCATGATGGGCTAACTGGCCTGTTTTCATTCTCATCTATCACCCTTCACTGGTGTTCCGCCAGCGTATCCCGTTATTATGTGGCAATGGTGTCTAACAGCCCTATTGCTAGCAATATACCCTAACAGATCAACCTTTTTTTTTTTTTTTTACAACCTCCACGCAGTTCCCCCTAGAAACCTATTTTTTGTGGAATTCTTCACGATGAGCCAACTGACCTGCCTTCATCTTTATCTATCATCTATCACTGGTGCAACTGGGACAACAGTACCCATGCAGACGTCTTTGCAACTAATAGAAATACGAAGCCATAGACTCAACTGATGGAAAGGTGGTATTAGTGTTCATGGACATTTTCTTTCTACGTTACAAATAATTACCAAATGGCGTAAATAAAATGGTTATAAATAAAACAAAATAATAAACATAAAAACATGTTATTTTTAGCGATGTTCACGGTAACATTTCTAACTTGATCGAGATCAAAGGACATACAATGACAGAGTTATTTATAAAAACTTAAATCAACAAACCATTATATAGTGTTTGATTTTAATTCAAATCGAAAAATTAGCGCAAAAGAAAAAGATAAGACACTTTTGACATTGTTGATAAGTTTTTTAAATAGTGCTAGCAACAGTAAATCTGTCAAAACCTGTAGATTTTTCGAAAACATTATATAGCTGATGTTAATTACTGATAATGTAGCTTTCTATAGGTGAAACAATTTTTGAAATCGGTCGAGTAGTTTCTGAGTTTTTCCATTACATACGAACAATCAAATCTTTCCTCTTTATAATACTAGTACAAATAGTATTTTATATATTAAAATAACGCAACAGTATCATAACTGATTTTTCTTTTACATTATATACAAAATAAAAAATCATAACATGTTTGAGCGCAAACACTTCTGGATGAAGTTGAAACAATTGTCGAATACGACAAACATAGAAAGTTCATATAAATTTCTATTATGCATATATATAGATATATCTGTTAATCATATAAATGAAAATACTGTTCACATACATACAAACACACGCACACGCACGCATGCACGCGCACGCACGCACGCACGCACGCACGCATATACATAATACTTATCCATACATGTGTATTAGTGGTGAGATCTAAATAAAAATAACTACATTACATAAATTAGTAGATAAACAATTATCAGTACTGCTAAAAAGCCTATGTTTATATCTGTGTGCATGTATATGATAACACGAATCCTGTTTCCTACAGGACACGCTCAGCCCAGTGTAGGAATCGATGATAAATTCTGTGCTTATTCAAACATACTTTGTTAAATAAATATATCTTTATCCTTACCTTTTTTTTTATACAACTTAGAATGGCAAACAAGCTGACGGCCCACCTGATGGAAAGTGGTAACCGTCGCCTATAGACATGAGCAGTACCATGGACATAACAGAGTATACTGTTTCACCCATGATACCCCCCATGCGTTGCCATTCCTGAGGACTCAGGTGTTATTCCTCTGTACCCAGTAAATTCACGGCATATCCCACCCTTCAAACCGAAACACAGCCATGCAAACACAACTGCTTCACGGTTGAAACACGAATGGGACAGAGGTACCCATGCAATCGACTTTTGTACAAAGTCTCCCTCTTAAATTTAGCTTATCGAAAATGTGACAACATTGTAATTATATGTCAGTTTTTAAAAACAATTCATCAATTTTAAGGGTATGTATACATTTTAATTTGCTAGCAAGAACACTTTTTAAATAATCGAACAAAAACATTTTTCAAAATGTTCAATTGTTTTTGAAAATTTATAATATAATTATTTTTAAATACACATTCGGGATGAAAAAGATAATACAAGTAAATAGTATCTGTGATCGCAGAAAAATAATAGTGAGACTGTGAGGGCTATCCGAAGAGACTGCACGAGCTGCCAGACGAAGACGCCGCCCACTTCAGTCCTGTCGTGACCACGACGTGCAATCCACGTCGAAACGTCGCCAATAAAGAAGCAGGCCCTTTAGACAAATAGCAAGCGATCGTCGATGGAATCGACATCGCTAGCGAGACCGTGAGTTGAAATGAGACATCCGACGTTGCTATCTCATTCTATCTCACAGACTCGGTAACGATGCCGATTCCATCGACGAATTTGCTTGCCACTTGTCTAGAGGGCTCGGTATGTAGGTATTATTTACCTGTAAAAGCTTTTACATCGCGTTAAGTTCCGATTGTGTATTTAAAATTGTGTGTAAACAACGCAAAAGTTTAAAATTAACTAATTTGTAATCAATCATGATATTGGCCACATTTTGGTAAGATAAAGTTATGAATGCTATTAATTAGAAGAAAGTAATTAGGTTTTAAAAGCTTCATGTAGCGCCTATTGATTTACATTTACTAATATTTAAAAATGACTAAATAAAAACATTTATGACACATAACAAAAAATAACTTAATACTTAAAACTAAAATACACATAAATAACTGCTAAAACTGTATTAATATAAAACTAGAAGCAAAGACCTTTCGGTGGTGGGACTTCTGGAATAAGGCCCAGTTTAAACTCATCACTTTTAAAATCCTCCATATCCTCCGGTGAAATGTCGTCCATCATACTATACACGCCAGTATCGTGTGCTGGCTGCTCAAACACGTTGCCAACACTCGGTTTTACTTCTTGGAAAACATTCGCTTGTGTCGCAAACACATTCTGATTTTGTTGAAGCGAAGACGGTTGCGACCCAAACACTGATTGGGAAGCACTCCCGAAAACGTTGTGCGGAGTTTGCGCGGTTTGGTTACTGCTAAAAATATTTTGGTTAGCTTGTGCAAAAATCGATTTTGCAGCTGCATTATCTGAAGGTGGTGATCCAAAAATATTGCTGGTCGCTTGATTATTAGCTATTTGATTTTGTCCAAAAGTGTTTGACGGACTTTGACCAAAATTATTGGTCGGTGGATTTTGGCCAAAAATTGTTTGGCTCGAACCAAAAACATTTTGATTTGCCTGTGCAAATATTGACTTTGCAGCCGAGTTGTCGGGGCTCTGTGAAAAAATACTGTTTGATTGTTGACCGAAAATAGATGGTGTGTTATTAGTTACAGTACTATTTGTACCAAATGCCGAGTTGTTTTGTACGGCACTTCGGAAAACGGATGCGGCGTTTGGATTGTTCGCATTCAATCCTGAAGTTGTGTTTGCAAAGGGAGAAGTAACAGCTTCACCTTTGTATATGCTCCTTAATACTTTGGTGATGGCTGAAGTTGGCTGGAGAAGTTGCTCATATTTTTGTCGTGTTTCTTTGTAAAGATTGTTCATATAGGAGATCTGAAAAAGAAATAGTTATAGATTATTTATTTATTTACATCTTTATTTTTTTTATACTACTTAGAATGGCAAACAAGCTAACGGCCCACCTTATGGAAAGTGGTAACCGTCGCCTATAGACATGAGCAGTACCATGGACATAACAGAGTATACTGTTTCGCCCATGATAACCCCCATGCTTTGCCATTCCTGAGGACATAGAAACATAAAAATATACAATAACAGTTAAACAATTGAAGTGAAATACAGTAACATAAATTACAGTTTAATATATATACATAAAGGCATAAAGAGTGATCTTATAACTAGGGCAATTTCTTACAGACAACCTTTGGTAAAGGGAGAACAGATAAAAGGGTTTTTTTTTAATAAATGATTAATAGAATGGTAACCCCGCTTGCTCTATCGTTATACACTGGCAGGGCACCAGTGAGGGATAATTGGTGAAAATGAAAAGGCAGGTCAGTTAGCCAATCGTGACAAATTCAATGATAAATTAGTCAAGATGGTTTCCAGGGGGAAGCGCGTGGAAGTCGACCTGATAAAGTATATTGATAGCAATGGGGACTAACTTCCCTATTACTAACAATCCCTTCCCCCCGATAGAAGAGGTTGGGTGGTGCAAAAGTGAATTAATAATATTCATGTGCATAAAATACAAAAACCTATATTGCACAAAAATATCAAATACATAAAACACATTAGCCACTACAGTGTATACCTATGAAGTCACTAATGGGTTTTTAAGCAGAAGAGCATACAGTGCACAATAAAGCATTAGATGTAGTGGATATATATAAGTTGCAATGCCCAATATTTTGTTTTTTAGATTCTAAAAATCATCACAATTGCTGCATTAGCACAGACATTATATAAGACATACAGGTAAAAAAAAGTAGGTTAACCACTTAATGGGAAGGTTTTTCTGTGAGGTCAACTGGCGCACTGGCGCACGCACTAAAATCGACGAAAGAAACGAGCATACAATAAATACACACTAAGCTCTATGAAATACAAATGTTACTTCTGTCCCATTCGTTTCTATCATGAAGCAGCTGTGTTTACATGGTTGTGTTTCGGTTTGAAAGGTGGGATATGGCAGTGAATTTACAGGATACAGAGGAATGACACCTGAGTCCTCAGGAATGGCAGCACATGGGAGGTATCACGGACAGAACAGTATACTCTGTTATGTCCATTGTATTGCTCATGTCATGGCGATGGTTACCACTTTCCATGAGATGGGCCATCAGCTTATTTATCATTATTAATTGCATAAAAATTACTGTCCACTCGCTGTTTCCTATACCACTGTGCTAAGTTGACAAGCAAAAATATCTTTTAAAGTTAAGTGCATCTTTGCTTACTTTATTAATAATATGTTATTATAAATGTATGTTTTAGCTCAATAAAGAATATTTTAGGTAGGCACTCTAATTGCTGGTCTTTTTACACTACACCCTATAGCAAAATTTATACACTTACAGCTTGGCCTAATGTGTTGTTAGCTTTAGCCTCATAAATTAATAGCCGGGCCTCTTCTGGTGAAAGATCCAATATGCCGGGGAACACAGGTTTCTCCTTAAACGGTGCATAACTGGATAACAACCACTGTGATCCTTTGAGTGCAGCCTGTACATCTGATTGCACTTGGTTTACAAGCTGCTCGTCAGTTACACCACTAGTGGACTGTGAAGCGGGAGTATTGGCTGAAAGTAATACAATCAAGTGGTTACATAATCTTTACTATTTCATGAGGTAATTACAAAATTAATTATTTCATCATATAATACAAATCATAACAGGCCGAGTTTTTTTTTTTTTTTATGCAACTTATAGAAATGGCAGTACCATGGACAAAACAGAGTGTACTGTTATGCACATAATACCTCCATGTACCTCCATTCATCATGATGGGCTAACTGGCCTGTTTTCATTCTCATCTATCACCCTTCACTGGTGTTACGCCAGCGTATCCCGTTAGTGCAAGCGGGGTTATCATACCATTTTCACCCATCAAAAAAAAACCTCCATGTGTGGCCAAGTTGTGAATAAAAATCCATTCAGCTGCATTTTTATAATGGAATGTAGTAAAGAATGCTGTCGACTTGAATTTTGTTGAATATGTAATAAACAATATTGATTTTAGACCAATATTTTGAAAACAGCTTTTTTAGACGATGCAATCTCTGGCTGCAGTATTATTCAAGTCTAAGAACGATATTTACCATAAAAAGGACGCTTTTAGATGTAACATTTGAATGAGAATGTGAGTCTATGATGTTTTTAAAATAATTACTGGGCATGCTTACCATTGTATAAATAATTGATAATTAACTGAAATATAATTAATATTGTAAACTTACCGTGATATGAATATTTCGACCCGTAAACATGTTCAAATCTACAATTCTGACCGTAACGGCAATAACCTTGTTGAAAATATTTACATACAACCATTATGTTTATTTATATTGTTCTTATATAATGTACTTTGTAAAATTAATACTCAATACATTTAAATGTTCTCAATTCATTATTTAATATATAAATATTAAACAATTCTAAATTTTTAATTTATTTTTCCAATCTTAAATTTATTTCAATAAGTATATATTAATCACAAACTATTATTAATATATATTAATATTTGAAATAATCGTCTGAAATCTTTGATACAGAGGCATGAGAAAGTGACATTTGCTCACATGTCAATGTCAAAAGTCAACGGAATGAAAATATGAAGATACATAAATACGTAAATCCCTCTTCTAATCTAAAAGAAAATTTATTCAAGGGGAAATACCCATGCGCCACATTTATATGCAATGTTTACTTAGAACCAAATGTAAAAATATAACTGCGTAGTTTCGTATTTTGACCGTTCCTTACAATGCGACTACAATAAGAAATTTGAATTTATTCTATAACATTTATTCAATTTGACGACCTATTTTTCATCGTTTTTAGACACGCAAGTGCCGTGCTATTTTATTTTGAATAGTGTAAAACTAAAATACAGTAAACATGTGCAATTGTGAGTATATATTAGTATTTACTTAATTATATTTTATAATACATTATTTTGGTGGGTAGATTAAAATAATAACTTGCTTTATTAAAAAATGCTATTAAAGTCCTTACTAATATTATAAATGTAAAAGTTAATTTGTTTGTTTCCTTTTAATGCCTTAACGATTTAACTAATGACTATAAAATTTGGTGGTATATACAGAAAATGTTATACGGCCTTATAATCTACCAAATTTAGATACAACCTGCTTGCATACTTTCTATATAAACAGTGTCGAATATATAATCTAGTACTATAAAATTTGTCATTGACAAATAATTGACATATCAAACATTTTCTATACACTAACTTGCTATTAATAGAGAAAAGTAGCAATTAATGGTGTATCTTACGTCCTCTTTTCACTAATTATATTTATATAAGAAGAAAGGAGGCAATCATATGATTTACAGTTTTTATTGTATCATTCCTTCTATGTAATGCCTTGTTCTTAGGGATCAGCTTAGAAACAATTGTCAAATATGTCAATAAATCTGTAAATACAGGGTTAAGATTCACATTCATAGGACACGAACTTTAAAAAAGAGGCTTTTAAAGAAAAATAAAAAAATAGAAGAGGCTTCTAAGGACGTGCATCCAGAGCCGTGAGACATATTTTTTTAAAAAGGCTGTAAAGTCAAACCAACCTGTGACATTCCAACATTCTTGTTGGAATTACGTTTTTCTATCATTTTATATTACCACACAAATTAAAAAACATCATCATGACAAATCATGCCTCTTTTGAATAGGCGTCATGACAGTTAAAGTTTGGCACGATTTGAAAAATAGCGCTTCACTTATATATTTTTTTTTAATACTAAAATAATTGATGTTTTAGTTTTAATAAATTACGTAGAAATTAATAAAAATATGAAAAAACTGTGTTCAATGTTATATAATACAATGAATAAACGTTTTTAGCTCAATTTTCAATTTTTTTTTTCGTTGAGTAAACAGTAAAGCAATTATAATTAATATTGTTAAGTATAATTAAAGTTTGCATGTAATGTCTAAGTAATTATTATGTTCGTTCATATAGTACCGGAGCTAATTTCTATATAATATTAAAAATTTTGTTGAATTTGTAAAATCTAACTAAAATTCTTGAATGTTGTTTTTATCATGGTTCCTACTATTTATCCATATGAACTGAAATTTAATTAAAAGTAATGGTATATTACGAATATAAACAGTACTTAAAAGTATATATGAACATTTAATTAATTATATTAGTACTATGCTGTTTCCCGTTAACATTTTACCTTTTAATAAAAATGATTTTAATATATCTAATTGAAATAATGTTATAACTACAAATAGAACTACTTGTCTTATATGCATAATTATTCTTTTATATGTACACATATATTCTTTAGAAATGAATATTTGTGTTTGTCATTTGTGATTTGGCTCGACACAATGCTTCTAATTATTGTTTTATGTACCAAAGAAAATAAGCATTGCTCACTTGTTAAAAAAATAGGTTAAAAATTAAAATAATGAAAAGTAAAAAAATATGAAATTGAATCTAAGTACTTGTTTGAAAATGTTACATTATGAAATAGCTAGATTTTGTATGCTAATTGTCAATATCGATATATTGGATTAAGGTATAGTAAGTTTTATTGCATTGTTACTCTGAAAAGGTAACATACATTTTTTTTTGTCTGCATTCCGTTGATATAAAGCCAGTGCCTACTCTTATAACGTTGTTATTATTTGCTTTTTTGAATTTCAAAATAAACAATTCCAATTCCATTTTTATGTGGATATTAAAATTTTTGAAAATCTAAACTTCTTAAAAAGTGTTCTGAAATCGAATTAAACCGTTATATTATTTAATTAAATCACGTAAGTACTATTGTATTATATATTTTTTTTATTTTGTAGTGATTCAGTGATTGCCAGTTAGAATAGAAATAACTTTTATTCAAATTAAATTACTGTATAAAAGAGGTTATTAAACCTCTTTTAAATCGTCTATTTTTTATGATTGTACTGCGGGTTTCTTGATGTTGTTATCAGCTGAGGAGAATTTGCAAGAAACAACTGATAATTTTACATTTACATGGATATTGTGACTGTAGTTAGAATTAACTTCTATTCGTATGCATTATTAAATGTCCCTCTGGTCCTTGTCCTTGAGTTTGGGAACCTGGTGATCTGTAACACGGGTTATCCTAGTACCGACACCAGTCTCTCACAAAGATTATTTTAAATTGTTACCTATGTAGCTGTAAATTGTATTATGTTGTCATTTGTGAGAGAAATAAATATTTACATTTACATATTTACATTACTGACTCCCTGTAATGCATTTCAGGTCGTCACTCTATCTAGTAGGGGGGGAGTCATACACTGCATTACACATACATTAAAAGAATTTAATTGACATTTACAGTCAGAGAATAATATAATAATGTCAATAAATTAATAGACTTTGTACAAAAGTCGTTTGCTTGGGTACCTCTGTCCCATTTGTGTTTCAACCGTAAAGCAATTGTGTTTGCATGGCTGTGTTTCGGTTTGAAGGGTGGAATATGGCATGAATTTACTGGGTACAGAGGAATAACACCTGAGTCCTCAGGAATGGCAACGCATGGGGGGTATCATGGGCGAAACAGTATAGTCTACTCTGTTATGTCCATGGTACTGCTCATGTCTATAGGCGACGGTTACCACTTTCCATCAGGTGGACCGTCAGCTTGTTTGCCATTCTAAGTTGTATAAACAAAAAAGGTAAAATGTTAATTTTTATAGATGTTATTAATTTGTAAAACAATCATAATTATTGTGATTACCTATAACAGACTAAAACTTTTTGTTTTTTTTTTTATTTTATTTATTTTATTATATATAAGTGTTTAAAGTTAAGGTTATCATATAAGTGTTTAAAAAATTAAGTCATCTGTATCTGCTACTTTGAACAGTTAATTTAAATATAAATAAATATATCTATATTGTTTTATTTCATACATGGTACTAGATATTCAGTGCAAAGAATTTATTTGAGTGTAGGTACTATCTAATCATTCAAGGCCTTCCCGATAGACCTAAAGATAAATACTTACCTAAGTGTTTTAGGTTTTTATTTACTATAGGGTGACTGTGTAAAATTCGTTTGCTTGGGCACCTCTGTTCCATTCGTGTTTGTACCGTGAAGCAGTTGTTTGCATGGCTGTGTTTCGATTTGAAAGAGATATGGCAGTGAATTTACAGGGTACAGAGGAATAATACCTGAGTCCTCACAAATGGCGACATATGAGGGGTATCATGGGCGAAAGACTATACTCTGTTATGTCCATGGTACTGCTCATGTCTATAGGCGACGGTTACCACTTTCGATCAGATGGGCCGTCAGCTTATTTGCCATTCTAAGTTGCATAAAAAATCCTATTAAAGATATTTAGGAAAAAACTATTTGATGTAGTAAAGCAATATTGTACATAGTATATTAAAGTGTTAGAAACATATTTATGTGGTAATGTTATAGTTATCTATAAATATATAGGTATTTAAAGTATTTCAATATATTTAGGGTGTGGTAATTTTCAAGATGTAACAGAATTGTTTAAGAGTTAAAATTAATGATTGTTAAACAAAAAAAAATATTGTAATTCTGAAAAATCGGATTTAATCTATAATTAATCTATCTATCTATCCATTTAAGAGCTGCGCTCTTGTCGGTGGAGCTCTTGAATAATAAATGGAATTAATATTAATGCAAAATTATTGGCCTTTGATTGTTTTTAAATTCATAATATAACGTAAAACATAGTGATAACAGAGTTGTGTTTTTTACACCCTGAGCTACTAAATCTAGAATATAGAAATTTAAACATAAAAATGTGGTAAAAGTTAAAAATCGCCGCCTACTACATTAGACCGTAATTAAGTTGTTTTAACAGGGACAGTCTTAAAAAAAAGTAATATTTGAATATATTTATTTTTTAAATGAAATAATTATAGCTTAATATTACAGATAAAAAAAAAAGATGTAATTAGCACTGTTTTTAAGTAATTGCCAAAAAACCTCTAAAAAAGAAAACATTATTTAGTTATGTTGCCAGTTTTTAACTAAAATTTAGATCCCAAATAATAAATTACAAATTGAAATATCAATAATAATAACTATTAGGTATCTATTTCCTGTAAGACAAGCAATAAAGGTAATATTTAACTTATCCACCTGTTTAGGGAACACTGCGTTTGAGTTGAACTCGCATTTGACCGATCTTTTTTTTTAAATACCTCCCATGTCTAGTTTACAGTTTTATTATATTAGTTTGTATTTTATTAAAGTATTTTTCTTGTTTTACTGTAATTTTAAAATAAAATAATGATGTTATTATATAATTGTGTATTCTTAATTTTTATGTTATTTTGTCTTATGTAACACGTATATTTTTTTTTTTAAAAGAGAGTGTGTCTAAATCTAATGAACAATATTATTTGAATGAAAAGTTTGTTCAGTGTATGTGTAAATAAATAAGTAAATACAATAAATAAGTAAGATTTCACCATCGATTGTGCAAACAGAGTGCACACTTAACTTTTTTTTTTTTATTACAGGATGGTAGACGGAAAAATTAATGAACTGCACGTTTACGGCCTCCACGCACTACTCGTGAGCATCATTGCTATAGGTAAGTGAAGATTTTTATGTAGATAGATAAATAATTTATTTGCATTATTTACAGCACATAATAAAACAATACAAACATACACATAATACAGATATAGACATAATACAGATATATACGGTAAAAGAGATAAAGGAATGAAAAGCAACAAAAAAAAAAAATATATATATATATATATATATATATATATATATATATATATATATATATATATAACGATTTCCTTCTTTCATGCGTGTGCTATAGTAACACAGATATATTTTCTAGGCTACGGTAACCGCTTACCATCAGGTGGGCCGTATGCTTGTTTGCCACCTCAGTGGTATAAAAAAAAATGATTACAACTCAGTTTATTGCTTTGCCCTCAAAGCTTTGGTTTGTACTAGTCGTGTCCCGCAGCTTCGCCTGCTCGAATCCTTATATAAAATCCTACTTACTCTATGTCATAAGTTAGGATATAAACTATCCGAGTACCGAATCTTTCTATCAAATCCGTTTAGTAGTTTTTGCGTAAAAAATAACAAACTAACATCCATCTATCTCTTGTTTCAAACTTTCGTATTTTTAATACAGACTTTATTTAAAGGAAAAGCTACAATTTGAAATTGGATTAAATGAAAATGGAATTAGTAACCTCCTCCCTCTCTCACGAATTTAGTAATGCGTGCACATAATTAGTAAATTATAAAATACATGTGTATATTTAAATATCTTTTTTGTTTGTTTGTTTTGTATAATTGGTACCGGTGACGTGGTTGTGTCAATGTTATTTATAAATTTAACTTAATTAATAGATATAATGGTCGGCTCCACTTCTCGCCAATATTTGCATGTTTATATACTTTCTTTCTTTATATAGCAATCTGTAGTTAACGTTGTTGGTAGTACTATTAATCACATTTAAATGTAATCTTATTATAATTATATATCGTATTACTGTTTGTTAACTTCAATAAAATAAAAAAAAAAAAGAATGGGCACCTTTATCTCATTGGGCGGGAATAGATACTCAATAATGGGGTCTAATAGTCCCATTGTTAGCAGCATACTTCATCAGATCGAGTCCACTTAGTCTACGCAGTCTTCTTGGAACTCGTCATGGTCATTTCATGTTATCACAGTTATCACTTTCCATCAGGTGGGCTGTCAGCTTGTTTGCCATTTTAAGTTGTATAAAAAAAATGTTGAATTCGTCACGATGGCCTAACTGATGCATTAGCATCCCGCATTGGTATTCCGCCAAGGTATTACCGATCGCGCAGGCGTGGTTATTTCATTTTCATCCCATAAAAACCCTCTATCATTGAATGTGTTAGTGATTAGGTCTAAAAGTCTCATTGCTAGCAATATTCCCTATCACACCTCCACATGATTTCCCTGGAACTATCATTGTTAATTCGTATTTTTTTTTGATGGGTGAAAATGGTATGGTAACTCCGCCTGCGCTAACAGGATACGCTGGCGGAGCACCAGTGAAGGGTGATAGATGAGAATGAAAATAGGCCAGTTAGCCCATCATGACGAATTCATCAGGAATTAACTATGATAGTTTCCAAGGGGAACCGCGAGGAGGTCGACCTGGTTGTATGGGGGGTACATACATAGCAACGCATGGGGGGTATCATGGGCGAAACAGTATATTCTATTATGCCCATGGTATTGCTCATGTCTATAGGCGACGGTTACTACTTTCAATCAGTTAGGCCGTCAGCTTGTTTGCCATTCTAAGTTGTATAAAAAAAATTAAATGCAATGCTACCAGTATATATTGGTGTCAAATTTAACAAAAAAAAAAGTAAATTAAAAACAATGCTGTAAATTTTAAAATTAGATATAATTTCGTTTGACGTTACCAAAATATCAACTGGGCGATTAGAGTAGTCAAGTAAACTTTATGGGGAAAAATTATGTATGGGGGCATAAAAAATTTACAAATGTTCAAGTGGGGCATGGCACAAAAAAGGTCGGGAAACACTGTTCTGTCAGCTTCCTTTTGTTTTCTCAGTATTATAAAAAAAAATCTATGTAAGTACTTGTATGGCATTACCTACTGGCATTTGCAGCGTTTGCCAATTCTGAGAACAGAGATTGTGATGTTCCGAATGAAACAGTGTTTGCGAGGGACAAACACAGGTATTCCCAGAATCAGTTTAGATGCCTAATTATAAATAGATCTGACATCATTTGGTTTTATTAGATCATTTATATACGTAGTGAAATAAAAGCGTCATCATGGTGATATCAGCGTTTAACTGTCCACTGCTTAACATAAGTCTCCCTCTTAGATTTTTTTTTATACAACTTAGAATGGCAAACAAGCTGACGGTCCACCTGATGGAACGTGGTATATATCACCCTTTTATCTATAAGCATATCCCATCCTTCAAACCGAAACACAGCCATGCAAACACAACTGCTTCACGGTCGAAACACGAATGGGACAGAGGTACCCAAGCAATCGACTTTTGTACAGTCTCCCTCTGGTGAACCTATATATATAATAATATTTAAAAAACTCGCTTCAAAATCCGTTGATTAATTTTAAAGTTTTAAGCATACATAGGGACAGACAGACAGCGACAGCAACTTTGTTTTATACTATGTAGTGATGACGATAACCTAAATTTTTTTGGAGTTTATTAAGTATGTACTACAATAATAAAAATAAAACCCTTGACGCAGTTTTGTTTTATTACAATCTAAAGTGTCAGATAGCCAAATATCGATTTCTGATAATGGAGGCATATCTCCTTAGTCTTCTCAGTTGTAACACATTAGAGTTCTATGGGCGTCACAGTATATTATGTATTTTTTTATCTTGTTGTTTATTAACCCTCCGCCAACCGTGTGTTTTTTGCACACCGTCAACCGTCACGGACGATATCGTCCCAGACGATAATTTTACCTACTTAAAGGTAGGGAAAAATTCCAAAAAAATCGGGGAATATGTCCTAGATTTCTTTTTTCTGTTTCCATTGTTTTTAACTTGAATACTTTATCCCCATTGAAATAAAATTTTATAATCTCTACAAAAATCGTAATTTCTAAAATTTCCCTAAAAAAAATCGATATCTTGGATATAAATTAGTTTTAAGAAGAAATATTTTGGAGATTTATTCTTCATATAAGCGCCTTTCAAAACCTTGCCATGCACGCATGTGTAAGTTTTTTTACATAGGGTTTTTTTTTAATAAATGATAATGAAATAGTAACCCCGCCTGCGTTAACGGTATACACTGGCGGGGCACCAGTGAGAGATGATAGGTGAGAATGAAAAGGCAGGTCAGTTAGCCTATCGTGATGAATTCACTTGGAATAGAATACAATAGTTTCCAGGGGGAACCGCGAGGAAGTCGACCTGATAGGATCTAGCAATGGGGCTACTGATCCCCATTATTAACAATCCCTTCTTCCCTCAAAATTTACAGAGGGGTTCGAGGCCCCGTCCTTTTTTTTCTTACAAAGATATGCATCAGGTCCAAACTTGGCGCGGACGATAATGTCCTATACGGTTGGCGGAGGGTTAGAGAAGGCGTATACTATCAGATGGGCCGTCCGCTTGTTGGCCGTGCCCATCAGTAAAATATGCATAATAATACTAAATAGTATTCTACGAATTCTTATCACTCACTGTTCGAGGTGTGGCCTAAACAAATTCACGCAGCGCCGTTAAATATAACATGCGGGGAATTGAAAAAAAAATAGTATGAAAGTTCGTAAGTTTTTTTTTATGTAAGAGTACAGTAAACACAAAAAGACAATTTCCATTTTTTTTATACAACGTAGAATGGCAAACAAGCTGACGGCCCACCTGATGGAAAGTGGTAACCGTCGCCTATATGACATGAGCAGTACCATGGACATGACAGATTATACTGTTTCGCCCATGATACCCCCCATGCGTTGCCATTCCTGAGGGCTCGGGTGTTATTCCTCTGTACCCAGTAAATTCACGCCATATCCCACCCTTCAAACCGAAACACAGCCATGCAAACACAACTGCTTCACAGTTGAAACACGAATGGGACAGAGGTATCCAAGCAATCGACTTTTGTACAAAGTCTCCCTCTGGTAAATATTTTTAAAAGAAGACTTTAATTATTTGTTGAGTCAACAAAACCAGCTCTAGTTACAGGTTTCTTAATAGTTATTATATCTTTACCATATTTTTTTATGTATATATGTATGTTTACGTGAGAATGAATACAGGCCAGTTAGCCCAGCATGATGAATTCATCAGGAATTAACCATGATAGTTTCCAGGGGGAACCGCGAGGAGGTCGACCTGGTTGGGTATATTGCTAGCAATGGGATTCTCAGTCTCCATTACTAACAATCCCTTTCCCCCCTAATATCCATATTACCCACGTCTACATTATAATATAGTAGTACTATCCACCCGCCCCGGCTTCGCACGGGTGCAATATTTATTTGTGTAACTTAAACTGTTCAATACATTTTAGCAAAACTGGTATTTTGGGGTGTGAAAAAGTACTGCATTAATATTGTTTAAGATTTTAAAATGAACGGCTTATTACATTTATTTTACTTTTAACATAAAAACAGTCTTTTTGGTCGAGGTACTGTTACGTGGCGAATGATAAGATTTGTTTTTTAAAAACTAGCTTTATTACTTTACACAGAAATAGTACAATTAGATGTTTACAATATGAATTCGGAAATGGAACTGTCCTCGAACTGATTTGAGGCAGTATTTATATAAGGTGAGTTTATCGGAGAGGGGTTCTCGACTAATGATAACATGATGCTCATGGTACACAATTGCGAATACAGATAAATATTACTCATCAGCTAATGGTATTGTAACAAAGGCTAATGGTGTATGATTTCATGACAGTGGTATTTTATCAGAGAGGAGCTTTTGGCAAAGGCTTCTTAGTTAGCGATTACATTGTACTTACAAATACAAATAGACATTCCAAAATATAGATAAACATTACAGATAAACATTACTTATCGTAACAAAGACTTGTTAGTCATTA